TCGCCGCCCCTACATCATGGGCTTCCCGAGAGCGGGAAGAACCCAGCAGCAGAACCCAGCAGCCGTCGGAAAGAACACTTGCCGCAAAACCGATTGCCACCGTTCCATTGTTTATCACACTGCAGTTGTTTTGTTTTTCTGTGCGGCGTCTTCTCCTTCTCCTGAACCACCCGGCCACTTTTCCCAGATCCGCCTCTATTTATTTGAGGTTCTTGTTCTGGGTCCTCCCACTGGCCAAATAACTTTCTAAATGAGCTTCGTACAGATTTGCGGCTTCTTCCCCCCATCAGGAGTGACATGGAAATCGAAGTGGGAGGCCAGAACAAAAGGACTGCCTGTGATTAGCCCGGAGAAAGGTGTCACATCCGGCCTGGAGCGGTTGCCGGCCTTGTAGATGGATATCTCGGTCCCACTCGCAATAATTCCCATTGTTGGTACTCGAATTATTTACACATTATCTGCGGCACAGGACTCAAGCAAAGGACGGGCTGGCTCAGTAAGCCCAGAGGATACCTCACATCACAGCAGACCACACTTACGCAGGGAGTCAGACGTTGTTATTTTAATAGTTTAAGTAACCATAATATGTTGAGGACTTTTTAATAAACTTGAAACATGAGCGAGCGTGAGCCACAAGGACACCAGAGACCAGAGACTGGCAGGATGCGGACTAGGACCGGCTGCAGTTGGGCAAAGATTTATGCAAACCAAAATGTTGCCAAAAATTACAGTTTAATGGAGTAGACTCGGGGAGTGTGCGTGGCCCCGGTCATAATGAGCAGCGAGAAACTTGCAACAAAGCCAAGTTCGCAACAGACAAAGAACCAAAAGCCAAGTTGGATACCGGGGACAAGAGCGACTCGAATGTAAGCAGAAGTAACTTCTCTAATTTTGCAGGAAATATGAAGCCATTAAAGTGCAGCAGACAAGGCGAAACATGGCAGCGTCTTGGCTACTGCGACACTCACATACTTAGAGGAGTCGCCTGCGAAAAGGAAAAGGACCTGGCACATGAGCAGCAGGAGTTGGAGGAGGTCGCCGAGCTGGAGGATGGACGCAACACTCCGGGGCCATCTGGCCCCCTGCAAAAGTTGTCCTCGAGAGTGTGAAAATAAATTCTGGAAAAGTCGTAGAAGTGAAAATGGCAACCTCTTTGCATGCGCCAGTTCGCCCTCCTCCTCCGGCCCAGATTACCACTACGGGTACGCGATCCGGGCCAAGCGGTAAACAGCTGTTGCACGTTTTTTCCTATTTCTACAATTTATATCCACAAAAAACACAGAAAAGGCACTGAGTGCCGAGAGACCGATATATGTACATATCTTTAATTGCCAACTTGGCCATTGGCTGGGAGAAAAATGAGCTCTGGCGAGTTCAGCGCGGGATTGTGGCCCAGCTGGTGTCACATGTCCGGTGTCCGGTGACCAGAGCTAGTTGCACTTAATCACTGCCCGACCCAGCCGACACCCGGGGATCTGGGGATCTGAGGAGGATGACAAACATCTATATAAAGAAGGTAAAGACTTATATTTTCGGTTGAAGAGTAGAGTTTAAAATGATTAAAATTAATTCAAAGAGAGATTAAAAGCTCCAATCTATATGCCTTATAAGTCAATCTGAATCAAACTAAGAAGTAAATGTTAATGTTGAAATTTATAAAATTACGAGCACAGCTCTAGATAGTGGAAATTAAGCTTATTAAGTCAAGAGATCCTACCTAGTATGAATTAAATATAATACCAATGTATATTATACTCAAAAGGATATCAAAATTTAAAGACTAGACTATATGATTGGCATTAAGCGTCATGGAAACCAGCATGCGAATACGATGGACTGGCCGTGATGTCGAGCTGCCTGAAATTAAGTTAATTTTAATTTGCGTTGATTAATTGCATCGTCAGGGGGAGGTCCCCGAACTGGAATGGACCAACTGGAGGCCGGCGGAAACCGCATGCCAAGTGTTAAATGTCAGACCAACGCTTTTAATACAATTTTCCGGGAAAGAGAGCATCGATGGCATGGTGCGGAAGTAAGGCTGTACAGTGGGCTCCGGAGCCATAATTACCCGGACTTTCGATGAATATCAAAGTGTCGTATTTTTGCCACGGGAACCCACTTGAGTTTCAGCATCGTCTAATCGCCAATCGACACCAAATGGCTTTTAAGCTACGCCGCATTGAAATTCCGGTGGCATATCGGCAATAATGTCGAACATTAGGTGGTTTGTTTTCCCTCTGGCCACTCTTCGCGCTTGTTGTATCGACCTTCCACTGTCTAGTGCTGTGGACGTTCGATTTAATGGTCTTGGGTGTTCCAAATTCTGAAATTAAATGGAACGTAAAACCAGCAAACGCGCCAAGGAAGATCCTAAATTTGCATAAATAGCCAAAGACGGTTTCTGATAAACAGGTGTTGAACAGGATATAAAATTGTATTGGTTTGTATTTTTATTTGTTTTGTTTTCCCAGAGTCATTTTAATATGATCGGGTATATGTGTTTATCTATCGAAGACTCTTTTATTAAGTACATTTCACTTTGTTTTATTGCTTTGTATTAAGAATTTTAAATAATCAGTTCAAAATAAAAACCCGAAGAATAAAGATAAAACTAAAACCTTGCTTAAAAATAAGTTTATTGAAAGAGTAAAGCGTGTGCTGGTCATCGAAAGCGTAATTATCTGGCATTCAAGGAATATATCTGCAATCAAATAGCTTTGATATATTATTGATCGGTTATAAAGCTATTAATATAATCATTCCCAATAGTTAAAGTTAGATCAAATGTGAAAATCAACATTAACGGTTGTTGATTCTCTACTGTACGTTACGTTTTACAATATTTTAAAGTATTTAACATTTTAGGTTTATCCGGAGACTGTCTTGAGAAAAACACATTTTCAACTAATCTCTCTGTTTCGTTCTCATCTTTTGTAGAAATTAAGACATATTTAGGTACGGCAAGGTACCAGCAAGGTCAATACAACATTGATTGCCTAAGTAATTTTCATTTTTATTGCAGAAATGATTGGAAATGTGAAAACCATAATTCTGACGGTAAAGTAAAAGTAATTCTGACGGTATTCAAAATGAAGCTAAACTAAGAAATAGTATTTAAGGTAGTCCGTCGTACTAAGAAGCATACAAATATCTATCGTGAAAAAGTAAAGCAGGGAAAAGAAAGCTTCTTAATTCCAATAATGTTTAAGATAAACATAGACAAGATCGCGTGTCCGTCGGTATGAACGTCGATAACTAAGAAACTATGACAGTTAAAGAGTTGGATATTTATATTCGATTTATGTATATATATCTCATGGGTATAGTTTTTAAATTGGTTTACAAAGTTTAAGGACAATTAGCTGCAGCCATCCTCCGTTGTTTTCACTAAAAAATAATAATATTTACTGAAAATAAAGCTTGAGTGATGTAAAATTTAGATATTTAAGAAATAACGTTTTATTTTATTTATAATAATTTTATATTATTAAATATATGAGAACATTTTGTTATAGTTTGTTCATAGAAGTGACAACAGTTAAGAGCATTTAAACTTCACCTTTCAGGGAGAGATCTTCATCGCTGTTTTTGTGTTTTGCGCCAGGCAAAGTCAACTATTGCGTATAATTATCTCCATATGGATCATTGTCATGCGGAGCACACGAGTTCACTGTTTTGTGTTCTAGAAAACAGGTAGGATTTGAATATAAATATGATAATTAGAACTGTGTTTATGGTTTTCCATTAAGCAAGTCGCATAAATACAAAGCACTTCTTACTACGCATGTGGGTGGCCTGAATGTCTTGGATTACATATCATTAGTTATAGTCTTTTCATTTCGCAATACTTCTTAAGCTGATTATTTTCGACTTATGGGTGAACCAAAGGCATTGGTAAAATAATTATTAAATTTAAGATTCAAAAATGTCTTTTTTCCTGAATCATTATTAAGTGCAGTGGGCTTATATGCAAAAAATCCATTCAATATGCGATTACTGCGCAGATGTCGTCGCCACCTTTGATGTGACGGACAGCAAAAGCTGTTCGCCATTATTTTAAGAAAAAACTTAAGGGATCGGTTCTCTGCACTTCTCAGTTATTGACATAATGACAATGATACATAACGAGATCGAACTTCTAAGATATTAAGAATAATAATTTCTTGAAAAATACACCCAAATAACGTTCATGCATTGATCTTTCTAAATGCCGAATCAGAGATATTTATATAGAAATCAGAACTTTAAAGCATTTACTTAATTAAACATCTTTATCCCTGCTTCACAGTAAAAGTATTAAAACGGATTTTCGTCAGTCAGCGTTGCTGTGCGTATGATTGATGCCTCAGGAGACATCGAAGTCCCACATTCCCATGAATTGCATTGCATGGAAGCGGGGGGAATTTGCAGTAATTGACAATTGAGAGGCACCTTCTGGCGCCTCCTCAGAAATTTTGCTGACGTCAGGAAAGTGGTGAATCACTGCCGGGATCCTTCTCCTTTAGATTGATTATGCAACGCATGCGTTACGCTGTCTATTTTTATACCCTAGGCGGCGCTCTTCTATCTGGGCGATAAGGCGCACACGCACCCATAAACCTCGATACCGACCGCCTTTCGAGTCTTCTGAATGACCTTAAAACTAAATTGCCAATTGCGATTTTATGGCCCACATGTGTTCCCCGGCGGCGTGGATACTCTTGCCGATCCAGGTCCGATCCATTGGCCCAGTGCTACCCCCGAATGGATCCACAGATTCGATAGTACGGACTCCGCATCGTCATCCACCGATTGGAGTTGTCAGGCAGATGGTTCGCACGTTCCCACAGAGATTCATACTGCATACTAAGCAGGGATCGGTCGCCGTCTATGGGTATATCCGATTTTTTTCGACTCATTTCGCCTCTCATTATGCTCGTTGTGCTGGCCTTTTTGCCTGTCGCTTTGCGTATATAAATCTAACGCGCTGCCGTGATCAGACATCACTTCATTGGTGGAAACTTCAGTGACAAGTTTAGCTCCTGCCGTGATCAGTGCGCGTATCCTAAATCCCCGAACTAAGACTCTCCGCCCTTCCAAGGATTAATAAAGTAGTCGCTTCTCATCCGCAACTCAATTCAGTCCGACATGAAGTTCAGTGCTGCCTTGGCTCTGCTGCTGATCGCTGGTTTCGTGGCCAGCATGGACGCTTTGCCCGCCAGGAAAAGTGAGTCCGCCGGCCAAAGGATTACCCATTCATTCATTCATACCCATTAATCAAATCATCTGCATCCCCATCTTTGTCGCTACCCTACTGAAGATCGGCAATACCTCGTTCCAGGAATGGTCTACCTCCAGCAGCCTGCAGCCGCCGAGTGGTACGGATCGGCGCCCCAACAGCGCTTCATGTACATGCAGTACGTCCAGCCCGGACGCACCCATGCCCGCTCCACCCAGGCTGCCAGCGCCCTTGTGGCCGGTGAGACCGTCGCCACCGGAACCTACCTGAAGGGTAAGTATCCCGCCCATCCATCTCCCAACCCCCGCCAGCACTAACCACGCCCTTCCTAACCAAAGATTGCAATCACGCAGAATCCGAGGTCAGCGCTGAGGGTGTCCAGGCCGATGACGTTCTGGCTGCCGCCGATGCCCACGGTGCCAGCTCCGTGGCCGAAGCCTACCCCGACCAGGCCCCCGTAGTCCAAGTGGCCATCGATGCCGACGTGGTGCCTGAGCCCCAAGCCGAGTCCGAAGCCGCTCTCGAGCCAGAGACCGCTGATGACGCCGCCAAGGTTCCTCGCGACTTCAACTTTGCTGCCGAGGAAGCCGCCGCTGCCGCTGAAGAGGAGTCCGTTCCTGTGCCCGTTGCCGAGGCTGAGCTTCCCGCCCCCGCACCCATTGTTCCAGTGGCCCCTGTTGTGCCAGCCAACCGTTATCTTCCCGCCAAGAAGAAGGTGATCGTCGAGCTGGAGCAGGAGGACGAAGAGCCCCAGGCCGCCGCCATCGAAGACGAAGAGGAGGTGGAGAACGCCGTGGCCGACGACGTTGAGGAGGACGAAGAGGTGCTGACCGTGCCCATCAAGCCCATCAACGCCCGTCGTCCCGCTGCAAAGAAGCCTGTCAAGGCTGCCGCTCCTGCTGCTGGCAAGCCCTCCAAGAAGCCAGCCACCCCCCTGCCCGCAGGTACCTTCTTCCCCATTGACTTTGGAGGCACCAACGGCGGTGCCATCGCCATAGCCAATTCCTTCAGCACCGGCGAGGGCGGATCCGCCACCAGCCATGCCATTGCCTACGGCTCTCCCGAGTCCGCCGCCCGCCGCGTCCGTCCCAACCCCAGCAAGTTCCGCCACTAATCCTTGGACAGACGATCAACCGCATCTTGCTACCGCCCTGCTTTTCCGGGGGCACCTCAATCAAATCAGTCTAAAAAGATTCTCCTGTAATTATTAGCAAAATTCTCCATCTTTGAGCGCACTAAATAAACTTTTCCCTGTTTTTACATATTTCGATTTTATATTTTGATTTCAGTTTGATTTTTATGCTTTCGTAATATGGGATTCATAATAAACTTAACATGTTTAGATATAAAATAATGCAATAATACAAACTAAGGACAAACAAATCAGAGAATGGGTATATGACCCCAGATGTTTTTCCATCAACAATACCTTCACAAAAATTTCTCTGCCTGCCTACCTTGGAAAGCGGGCAACATTAATACGCCTTCGCATCGGGCAAACCCCACGTCCCGTCTGCATTTGTGGCGATCGCCTTGAAATTGACCATCTTCTCAACTCATGCCGTCTTCTGGAGAGCGTCAGGGCCCTCATTTTCGGTCATATAAACCTTCCGTTAGCTTAAATATACTATCACAATAAAACATAATGAACCTTTACCAATTTGTCGTTAAAACCAACCTAAATATTTAAATATTTAAATTTTTTAATTTAATCTTGAGTCGTTGGCCCTAGCAGCTGGAACTCTTTAAGAAATTCATTAGATTAGTTTCAATGTTTTAAAGAGTTCAAGAAACTAAAACTGGAATGGAGTTAACTTGGGGACGGTTACAGTGATGTATAATAGAGGGTACGTAGGTGATCTTCAACAGGACATCACTGAATCGACTCTTTTTAGTACAACCGAATGGTATTTCTGATTGTCCATATTGTCCCTTCTTGATTTTAATATCTAAGCCTTGATACAGATGTGCAAACTGAACTTTTTTAATGTTAAAACCACTTGAAGCCTATTCGTTGCGTTATAGCATCGGATAAGAAATGTGTACCCAATACCACACCAAGGTCCATTTTAAATCTAGTCTTTGAAAGATCTTATGTTCAGTGAATAAAACGGTTTATATATGTACTCGTATATATTACATAAATAACTTTTTCATTTCAGTTAAATGCCGGGGTTATGAAATTATAATTCAATTCAACCAAATGGAAATTGTTTGGATTTCGCAATTAAAGTCATGGTTCCGGAATGTCTCCTCAACTTCGAATGTTTGCTATGCAGTTCTAATTTATTCATTTTACACTCCTTTACTTCATTTCATGATAATCGAGAAACAAATCCAAAATAAGCTTATCGGAATACAAATTGCAGCATATATATAGTATATTTAAAAGACACTACGCGTATTGTACAGCTGGTTTTACTGCATTGATTTACTTTCTGATTCTTCGGCTTCTCCTAATTTTTACAAGAACGATACGAGGCATACGATGCGAATGATTGCTCCCGTGATACTAGACTAAGGGCTATCTGCTTGGAATCCTTTATAACTTTCTGCATAATCGCGAATCGGTTGCTGTGTGACTAATATATAAAAACGTTAAAATTAGACTCTCCTCCGCCACCACGGCTACTGCTCCGGCTGCCGGGTCTCATGCGCGGGTCACTAATGTTCTTTTGCTGATATCAGTAACCGTATTTGTCTTGCCAGGAGGTCATCACGTCGTTGGCCAAATTGCTGAGACGACCAGCCACTTTGTGTACTCCCTGACGAACGCTCTCTTTCACGCTCTCCACATCCAAATCGGGGGCACTAAAGTTGACCGACGAAGCTGAATGAAAAAAAATACCAAATAAATTAAACCTCGCAATTCTCACTCCATTTGAATGTATCGCTTTACTTACACCTATTGCCGGAACTGCCACCAGGTGTTCCATCGCCAAAGTAGTCTGACGAAGATATGGCTCGCGATCCCTGGAACCGATTCAAACTCGCGCTAATATCAGCCGAGGACTGTTCGCTGGCGAAGTACTGGTCTGAGCCAAAGCCCTTTGAGTTCCCGAATTTCTGCTGGGCGATCACAGGGTCATTGCTAGCTCCCCCTTTGTTGTGACTGGAAGAGGACGAAACGGCCAATCCGCTACTGTTCTTGGCGGGCGCCGACGTTTTGGGCTTGTCATGGTCATTGTTCCCGGAAAACATGGACGAGATATTGCTGTGGGAGCCAGCAATTGGCTCTATGGTCTCGTAGCCCAAAGCATCAAGTTCAAACTTGTCCAGTTTACTGGAGCCGCCGACTGAGCTTTCCCGTTTTTCGCTAGAGCCTACACCTCCGCTGCCGCTGTTGCCATATAGGGAATAGTCGGTGAAAAAGTTATCGCTCTCCAAAGAAGAAAGTTTTGTCTTAGGGGCGGCCGATTGCTGAATTGTTTCCATATCGCCGAGGGCAGAGTGGGCCATGTCAGATCCACGCAAACCAAAGCCCATACCTAGACGTTCCATCTGTTTGGCCTTGGCAGGGTCCATAGTCTTGAGCTTGGCCTCTTCACGAGTCTTCTGCATTGAAAGCTCCTGGTACGCTAATCGCATGCTGGCCACCGTCTCTAATTCCTCCTCCGCCGACTGCGGCTTGTCCAGAGGGGCAGTAGCAACTGAAGCTTTCATCTCATTTGCCGCGTTCGCCCGAGCCTCGATGTCTGCGAAATTTGCCTTCACCTTCGTAGCTCCCAGGCCACCCACCTTTCGGGCACCCAACTGGAAGAGAGGCAAACAATTAGTCAATGCTTTTTACTGCTGGAGGTTACACATACTCCACCCTTCTTAGGCTGCACCTTGCGCACACCTATGGAAGAAGGTACTGCTGCCGGCACCACTGAATTGAGCAGATCCACGCTGGGGGCGCCTCCCAGTTGCGTTTCTAAACTAATGACGGGAGCAGCGGTCGCTGGCTTTAGATCCTGCTAGAAGTAAGTCAGAATTCAAGACAAATCTATAAACCTAATACTAAAAGAACTCAAAAGCGTGCGAGTGTCTCCTGCGTGTAAGGGGCGCCATACCTTGCTGACATTGTTGTTTTGCACGTTAAAGTCCGACTCGTTGTCGCACTGTGCGAAGAAATCTTCTTCCTTGGCGACCTCGTTGCCCTCGCTTTTATCCGTCTGCTCCAGGTGCAGCTGGTTGCAGATTGGTTGGCGTGAGTGTGACATGGAGCAGGAATGAAATCAGGAGTGGGGAGCAGGCAGAGCAGTGAAGCAAAATTTGGTTAGGTGGTTTAGTTTAACAGAACTACAGGCAGTAGCAAGTCAATCGATGCTCTGAACTCACCTTCGTTCCATGCACCTTCATGGCCTGCTGAGCCTGGGCGCTCAACTTATCCCGGTAGAGCTGGGCCGCCCGCGAGTTGTACTTGACCTGGGAATCGGTACTGCTGCAGTTATGGGCTCGGAAGAATTGGGCCGCGTTCGCGTTGCCGCCCAGCTGCATTTGGCGGAGCTGTAGCCAGGTCCAATTGGTGTCCAAGTTGGTGCTGCGCACGAAGGTCAGGTGCACGCCCAAGTTGCGGTGCACAGCTGAACAATCTATGCAAATGAAGATTCCGTAGGTGACGGAGGACCAGGTGGGAGCCTTGGCCGCGCAATCAAAGCAGGACTACGAAGGATGAGAAAGGAGAGGGGGTGCCCCATTAGTCGGAGCCTCAAGGGCGAACTGGCGAAAGTAGGGCACTTACTTTGTTGGCTGGCTGGGCGCGCAGCCGACTGAAGACCGACTCGATCTCCTGCTTGGAGGGTCCTGCTGCTGGATTGGCCATGGCGAACAGTTCGGATTGGAATTTCTAACTTGGGACACAAAAAATTGTCGACGTTGCTCGGCGCTGAACTGCGCGGCTCTTTCCTGTATCTCGTGGCCCTCACTATGAATTCGATGTGCTGTGTCCAAGGGAAGCCCTAGATACCAAACACAAACGTTTGCCAAATTCTCGCCTCGACTTTTCAGAACGTACGTGGACGTGTTTTCCTTTCGTGGTATTCGACCAGTGGAAGCACTCGGTGCTGTTAGTGCAATCTGTTCTGTAATACGCACCAGTGTTGGAAATATCAGCCGCTCTCGGTGATGCCACGTTTTGCCAGGGAGACCAGCGCCGAACTCTTAATTTTGAATCGTTCAATTTCATTAGGGGTGTTCTGTTTATAGTGATTTGTCAATATCATTTCCGATAGTAATCCGTTTTAATCGACAAAGTTTTTGCATATTGCGACCATCTATTTTACAAACAATTATTCTAAGTTTTGGTTCCTTAAAACTTTTTTTTCTTTAAACCTATAAAAATAACCATTAAAAGGTTCGCATAGCGCCTAGGCTAAAATATCTTAAAAATAAGAAAAATTTCCCCAAAAGTGGGTTAGCTGAATAGCCCGATTGCAACGAAAGCGTTCCATAGACGTGAAAATATGTTGAAATGGGATCCGATTACATTATTATAAGAATACCACTTATATATTCGATAATTATGTAATTAAATATTTACAATCAAGCACGTATCGAATACTTTAACGCCAATGGTGAACAATAAAATTAATTCAAACAGAATAACAAAAGCCAGGAGAGCTAAAGAATCCTTCATATCCCATAAGAACTGTAACTCTGTGGTCCGGAACAAAGAAAAGCCTCCGTGCATGGTGTGTATCTCAACCAACAACGGTCTGTTGCATTCCCTCAGAAGGTGAAGAGATTCCGAAACATAATCTGATTGCTCATGTGCAGCCAGCGTCCTCCGAGAAGAGTCTGCACATGGACCCAAGGCAGGATCCAGCGCAAACGAAGGACGTCCAGATCCAGTCGCAGACGAAAGGTGATCTGCAAAAAGCGGAAACTAGTGAGCAGGATAAGCTGTTAGAGGAAATTCATATCAAGAGCGAGCCTTTTTGTGATGATTTGTGGGATGTCCTGGACGAGCTGGGGGATATTCTGGATGAGGAGCAGGCCAACTCGGTTGTGTTAAAGAAACCTGCGATTACGCCACCACCACCCTTCATCTCACTGACAGACGACTCATCATTGTTCACTAGAAGATTACGACTTGACCGTGAGGTTTCTCGTGACAGCTTTAATGATCCCTTATCCGATGGAGAAATTGCTTCAAGTGAAGAAAGCATATTTCAGGGAACGAGTCCCGGTCGAAGTATTGAATATTATCGACTTTTCCAGGTGGAAGCATCAAGCAGTCATGAAGAGAGTTCCGAACGACACAAGGGCAATGGTTGTAACAATAGAAAGCTCTCTTACGAAGCTACCGTAACAAGAGCCAAACAACTTAATCCAGAACCTAACAACACGCGTAGCAAATCATATGGCAGAAGTTTTTTTTCATTGCATGGAATACGTGGTAGTCGTAGCCCCAAGTTCAGAGGCAGGAGAAGAAGCGCCTCAAGGAACTCAGCCGAATCCCAGAGAACATCAATCCCAGCATACCGTTGGAGCCAATCCAGAGAAAACATACGAACTCTGAAGCGGAGCAACTCCAGGGACCATCTGGATCGCCACATTAGACCTTCGTTTCCTAGACGCAGGTTTAGATCCAGGTCCAGAAGCCCTGATCGTAGGAATCGTTCTCATTCCGAACGATATCCCTGTCCAGGCAAAAGATCCAGGGATGCTTCTCCCAGCATTAGGCATAGATCACATAGATCGCCCGACTTGGAAAGGAGGCACGTCCGGCGACATTCGCCATTATACCTCCCACGACTTCGTTTTAGGAGGACATCCAGGCCAGCCACAAACTTTGAACGAAAAAAGTTGGGAGAAAGGATTTGCCAAGTTGACCGTTCAAAAAGCAAATCCCGAACAGAAAGAACACATTTTCGAAAAAGGTCTAGAAGTAGATCCAAAGCAACAAAGATTATTGACCGAGAAGGTTCCAAAAACGCATCCAAGTCGCGCTTAAAAAGTAAAAACAGCCCAGTAAACATTGAGGCGGGCAAGCGTTCCAGGAGCCGATCCATCAACAGTAAAAGCCGTTCTCGGAAATATTCGAAAAGTAGCACCCAACCTGCACAGAGCCCGACAGATAATTCACGTATAAATAAGTCTAGCAAGGCGAAGAGAGTGGTTAGTAGAGGTGATTTAAAACTTCCACTGAACCAAAAAGAGCTACTTCCTGTTAGCTCCTCGCAAAGTTCGTCGCTAGATTCACCTCGGCCGATTTCTCCGATGGTCACACTCCACGATAACCGACTAACTCGCCACAATGAGATGCGTCAATACTTGTTGCCAACTCCACCTCCCCAAATTATATACACGCAGACAAACTACACTCACCTGCTGTACAGCGCCCCTCAATTTCAAGGATACCAGTCCGGATACTATAGACCCCCCTCATCGGATATCGGTTCTTGCGACCTGCGCGGCCATACATCCAGCACCCATTCAATCTATTACCTGAGTCCTAACAATATGCATGAACACAGCCAGGACATCTGCTTACCTCAACCTGCCTTTAACGCCCACGCGGAGTGGCCATCGGGCAACTATGAACAGTACCACCAGAACGGTTACTTCTAATGGACCTCTCCTGTATTTTATTTAATGTACACGAATGATCTTTATTTTTATTACATATGTACTCGTGTGTATGAGTGTCATATTTTAATCGTAGAGGGAGTTCTGTCTGCGTGTGTATGTGAAGTCACGACTTCGAAGCGGGATTTAGTTAGTCTGATGCGAGAATATCGTACGGATAAAGTTTCTCCCGCACCGTTTTATCCATGGATGCGGATCCTTCAAAGCTTTTGAGGTGGTTTGCTTTCAGCATATAAAAATGGTAGAACTTCGGAAGCATTCACTTTTCGACTTCCTGATTCGAAGTCTTCCTGTGTAGATAGGTAAACTTCCAGATGTCACAATGATTTTGACATATGTTCCTGCCAAGAAACAAAATCTAGTGATAGGTAGTATTTTCTCCACAACTAACGTTGTTTATTCCTCTTGAATGAAATATTATGAACAAAACAAGAAGAAACGCTATAGTCCGTTACTCTGTTATAACATTTTAAGATATTTATTTTGCTAGTGGAAATTTACAAAGCGCCACCTATTGTCAGATATATGGACGAAACGGTTTGTGGGCGTAGCAGAAGGCTGAAATAAACTTGCACTGCGGAGGGACTTCACTATTGATCCTGATCAACATTATATATACTTTATAGGGAAGGAAACGCTTCCCTTCTACCTGTTACATACTTTTCAACGTATCTAATATACATACATACTTATTACTATCTTATACAATAAGATTTGTTATAGTCATCATAGTTGTTGAGACGCATTAAATTACAAACTTTTGTTATTACAGAATGTTACAGAATTGATACAAGTAAACAAGAAATTCAATTCAAAAACAAGAAGAAACGCTATAGTCGGGTACCGCGGCTATAAGATACCCGTTACTGTTTTACACAATTTTAAAATATTCATTTTTCAAGTGGAAATTCACAAAGCGCCACTTATTGTCAGAGAAAGCGTGTTGAGTAACTGATAGTGACGTCACTGCCCACGTGAGGCCTTATAACCTACATTTCTTCATAAATAGTGAAATAATGTTCCGATGGCTTAATCGACTTCGATACGCTTCCTTCTACCTGTTACATACTCTTCAACGAATCGAATATATCCGTTTAATCTACGAGTAAAGGGTATAATAATTGGCAACTCGATAGATATTGACCAATATACATATGTATGTTATACAAGGTTAAACGAAGACATACACATACACTTTTCTACAAAATGCGAAAACCGTCTTTAGAGCTTGGTGGGCGTAAAAGCTGGTGTGGCCACCATAAACGCTTGCATCTTAAGATTATAAATACTTAATTTCAACTCTCTAGCTTTAATAGAACATGAGACTTAATCGGTTTTAGTTTTTCGTGATTTGTGGGCGTGGCAGTATGCTGAAATAAACTTGCGCTGCGTAGGGATCTCAACAATCTGTCTGCTTAATCTTAACTCTGTATCTCTTAGTGATCTCAGCGTGTATACGGACGGAGGGACGGACAAACTGACATGGCTTAATCGACTTCGCTATTGATATGGATCAAGAATTTATATACTTTATAGGGTCGAAAGCGCTTCATTCTACCTGTTACATACTTTTCAACGAATCTAGTATACTTTTTTACTCTACGAGTAATGAGTATAACAAATGTTGCCAGACAGTCAGAACGGCAGTTAGGCAAAGCGTCAGCAATCCGATGATCCAAAGGTATCTGGTACATCCAGACGCTTCCCAAACATATTGCCATTGTTTTTTTTACAACTACTTTTATTAGTTCGAGTACTTTTTACCTTTAAATACTGCTACATATGTTTGTTCAATAAAATCAGATCAATAAATTTAGAGCATATAAGAACTGTCGTTGAAAAACTGTTGTTCTCTACCACAATTACGGCTATTGACGTGCTTTTAGATCCCTAATTTGCGAAATTCTCTCCGCTTTCAATCTTACATGTGTTAGTTGGGACAGCAAACAATTAGATGGTTTATGGTTAAACAGACAACCTGTGACTACATGCATGCTGAAAGTAATTTTGCTTAAAACTTGATATATATTTTTACATTTATACAAAAATATTTAATTTAAATCAATAAACACAAAAAACACCAAAAAAAAAAAAAAAAAAAAAACAAAGTTGATATACATAAGTCTGCATAAAGAGTTAATTTTGGTATTTAGTATCTACTAGTTGAGTCTCGTTGCATTGCAAGACGCCATTAAACACTTTTTAACCGTCGGTATTAAAAAAAAAGGTATTGTGGTCGTTAAAGATTAAATCATGTCAATTCCGGATCGTAATCCTGAATCTGCTAGAGCACCGGTATTAGAGCGGCCAATTCCTTTAGCAAAAGCCGATCCGGCACAGTTCCATCTTCAATGTCGCTCATCAGCTTCTCCACTTCGAGCAGAAAGCGATCATCTTCTGTCCGCAAGTGGCATTTGGATTAATTGTGGAGCTCCAATGTCCACTTGCACTGAAGACATCGGTGTTTCTTGCAGAAATGTGTGTTAACACTGTTGCATTCCTTTTTCTTTTAGTTTACTTGGCCCTTAAAAGCTTTGTTCCTGCTGTGGATGATGTGCACCCATAGGTGCCTTCACGATGACGGCCATCAAGATTTACGATTCCTGGTAGGTGGACTGTGTAAGATGTTAGGGCGGACTCCGGAGCGTAATGCATCTGCCAGGACTTGCATTTAAAAAATCCGGTCATGTGTTTCTCTTGGTAGTGTCGGCTGATCTGTCCGATATAACGGAAAACATGCACCCTGCGGCCATGCTGACGGTGCTGACAGCCGATTTTCGGGCAGTGGAAGGAGTTAAACCTTTGTTTGATGTGGGGTTTTCCTTCACTTTTCGGACAATACGTCTCTCCTCGTGGTCATTAAAAATTGTGTTCGGAGCATCACGGCCCTTATCTGCCACCCGATTTTCGCAAAAAAGCATTTGGGTTATGTATGGGTTTGTACCAGGGCTTGAGGCAACCATTTCCTGGGCTTTTCCATCCTTAAAATGTTTAAGGACTAATTCGCTTTGCTCAAAAGTTGTTCGTGGCGCCATAGTTTGAAAATCCTCGTTAATCCATAACTTTTGGGTGCCCCCAGACTCGAAAACTTATAAATATACTTTTGTTAATATATTTTTACTAGTATTAAGAAAAAAATGGATTTAAAAGTCGCAGTTTAGAGTTATTTACCATTAAAGTGCTTGCACGAAATAAGCTTGTGCGTCAGAATTGCCCTATTTTTTAGTTTTTGTATGAAAAATTCTTTTGTTTTTTAAATTAGTAAAAACTTTTGTTATTATTTGAATAATATGCGACATTTTTAACATTACTTGATATCTCTGCTGGTTTAGTAGCATTATCAAATTTAAGCTTCGATTTATTCTTGCACGAAATAAGCTTGGAGCCACTGTATGAACTTTTAATATTGATTTGTAATAACAAAATATAAGGAATCTATATTTTAGAGTACCCTTCCAGTGCTGTTAAGCGTTGAGGAGAGACAACTTGCTTTTTTGTTTATTTTCTAGCAGGCAGTGTTTTGTGCAACTGTAAATTTCTCGCGTCAGCAAATTGGACCGCTTCACGACGCAGCTCATATTTGTTTCGTGCGTTATTTTCATTCGAAATAACATAACACGCAAAAACGGGAAAACAATTTTTGTTGGGCCAAATACATCCACATTCCTGGTCATTCATTACTTACTACCGTCCGTCGCTATCTCTGCTCAGGCACACGTGTTCGACGTTTGCCGCACTAACCCCGTTTAGCATCACGCCCCTTAAACTAGCTAGGCCCAGCTAAGATGGCCCCTAAGAAACGTAATGGATTTATGATGTTCGTTACCGAGTGGCGTGCCCGTAATGCCGAGGGTCGCCGAATGACACTGGCACAGGCTGTTTCGCACTGCGGCAGCATATGGGAAGTAGGTTCCGCCTGAATCAGCCCTGGCCTACAAAAAACTAAGGTTCGTTCTTTCAGAAAATGACCACCCAGCAGCGGGGACCATACAACTCTGGCGCCAAGGACGCCAACCTTCACGTTCAGAAGGATCGCCTCAACTGCTACGGCGAGGGAGTCACCCAGGTGGACAAGGCTAAGAAAGAGGCCGCCGACAGCTTGATGCACATGAAACTTACCACCGAGCGTATGGTGAAGGATGCAAAGAAGTCCCATGGTAAGCCATGCAAATTGGTTTTTACATTCAACTGATCAATAAATTGTTTTGCCAAAGATCTGGAGAACGCCAAGTTCGTTTTCGCTGCTTTCAACTTCTTTACCAAAGCCCTAACTACCGAGGTATATGTGCCCGCCGAATTCGCGGCATGCGAGTACTCATTGAAGGAAGGAATCCACTCTATCTACAGCACCATGATTGACCCAGGCCATATCATTTTCGGCCAGGGCAGCGATGCCCAGCACCACTCGTCCACGACTCACAACCTTCCGCTGCCACCCAATGCATTGGGGGAAAAGGACATGGCTAAACTATACCGAAACATCGTCGATTATTTGACCAAGAATTTGGAAGACAAGCCTCTCATTGTGTTCACACCCTCGGAAAATATTGCGATGGTGCAGTCTTGCTTTCGGTACTTGTCCTGCGAAGATGACGGCTACGGAGACGAAGGTCAGAGTATTCAGGTGCTCGATATCCAATACTTGCTGTTCATATTGAAGAAGGAGGTGATGGATGTTTCCGGTTTGCCTAATGATAATATCAACAAATTCGTAACGGACGCCTTTTTCAAGAAGGACTTCTTTGAGTTTACGCCTGAGATTGCATGTCAGGTAAGAATTTGTCTTCTTCCCAGATGATTATTAAATTTATATTGACTGCCTACAGTTCCACGAGGAGAACGACCGCACCAAGTACTGTACCCAGAGTATGGTGACTAGATGGGCCTATAGCTTTAGCGATTTCCTGTGCGGACACCTTGCTATTTCCTTAAACCCAGGAAAACATATACCACCTAAAACAAAACCTAACTACCGGATAATTAATTCGGACGCCCCCTCGCTATCCAAGGAGTCCTCTATCGACACGCTACCAGGGTCGAGGGTCAAGAAAGAAAACCGATCTCAAGACATCTCTCCTTCTAGCAGCCGCCATTCCATCGCATCTAGTTCTTACGCAGCCACTGACCACACCGCCTTTACCGCCGACTTAAATGAACTAGGTCAATTTCCGAGCCTTGGTCGTCGTAATCCCAGTGGGCGTCGCACTCCCGCAGCCAGTGCTCCGCTACAGCGCGAAAGGAACACACGGGCTTGGAATTTACCGACGCACTCGAGACCTCTTCACGAATTCACCGATAACGACTTCAGCTTAGCCGAAACGAACAAAAAATAGAAAACTAAACAACTTCTAAATGTAAGAAGAAGAAACGCTGTCTCGATTTTAAGATATTCATTACCCTCTAACATTCTCTGATAATTAAAAAAAAGAAACGCTAACCAATTATCTATTATCTATCTTTTTTATTTAACCCTGAAATCTATATGAAGAAAAGCACAACCACTCTTACGCCCACCAAGCTCGAAAGTCGGCTTTCGCATTTTGTGGAAAAGCTGATATCTCGATAACTATAAGTGATAGAAAGTTCGGATTAAACGCGTAAATTTTTATGATGTTCTCAATACGAATTGTTTTCTTCCCATCTATCCGCGCCCATTCTAACGCCCACAAACCGCGGAGATCTGTGGCTTCCATAATATTATAATGAATGTCTTGACCTTGTATAACATTTTTTGTCAATATCTATCGATTTACCAAAGATTTTTCAAATCGGAACAATATTTCGCTATTTATGAAGAAATTTTGGCATTAGCCTTAGAAGATTATGTCAGCTTGAAAAGCGGAGCACGCAGCACGACTGTCTTATTCTATAACAATTAATGAAGCATACTTTTCGGCTAATTCGATTTTCGGCTTTTGTATTCCTTTTTATACCCGTTACTCGTAGAGTAAAAGGGTATACTAGATTCGTTGAAAAGTATGTAACAGATAGAAGGAAGCGTTTGCGATCCTATAAAGTATATATATTCTTGATCAGGATCAATAGTCCGTCCGTCCGTATGAACGCTGAGATCTCAGGAACTATAACACAACGTTGAGATTAACCATGAAGATTCTTGAGGTCCCGGGACAGCGCAAGTTTATTACAGCATCCTGCCAGGCCCACTGTAACGCCCACAAATCGCAAAAAACTAAAATTGCTGAAATCTCAGGAACTATTGGAGCTAGAAAGTTGAAATTCAGAAAGTATAATCTTTAGATGCTAGCGTATCTTATAGTGGTACTACTATAAGTGGAGAACTTCAGCAGAGATAGGTTTGGTAGACGACTTGTATCCATCAGCAGATAAATCAAAGGTGAAAACTCTATGCAACTGCTCAGGAGTTCCATGTTGAAGACGAAAGTCCGGGATCGCACTGGTGACATTATCGTAAGTAGTATCCTGTTCAGAATCAGCCTTTCCATGATTTTTCCCAGGGATGGCAGAAAACTAATAGGTCTGTATGAGTCTACGTCAGTCGTCGATTTTCGGGAAGTATCCAACAGTTAGTACACTGTTCAATACCGACGCCAGGAACTGCAAGGCTGGATTTGGTAATAGTCGAATTATCCTATTGTCCAGAAAGTCTTCACCTGGAGTTGTTTTCGGTGATAATTTACCTATAAGGTCATTCACCTTTGTCAATGTGTCAGGGTTAGCAGGCAGGCTCATTTAAAACGGAGATTCCACAAACTCTTCAACTTGTCGACGTATTCTTTCAGGGGAATAGTCGTACGGCTTGAAGCGTTGTTCAAGGTTGCGAACGCTTCAGCTTGTTCTAGGCTAGTACGGCACCAGCCGACTGAAGGGTTTCTAATGGCTTAACTTGGGGTGGGCAGAGCCTTATACCGTTTTGTGATACGCCACAGCGAGTAATTAGAACTAGCGTCTGTGTCTAGATTTTCCAAAAAAAACTATCTATAGATTCTCGTTTTCTTCGTGCGACTCCCTTGCTTAAGCAGTTTGCCAACCGATTATAAATCTGATGAATACAGGCGTCTCCTGTTCTTGTATACTCTCTTCTTAATCTACGCTTTAGATTGAGAAGTGCCCTAATTCTGGGCGGTAGCTGGAGATGTCTAGGGCTCTCTGTTTCTGGGTGCAGCTATCTCAGTAGCTAAACCAAGCATTCATTTTCATTCACATGAAAAGGTTTGTTTTCCGAGTATGAAAGCGTGATTAGCTTTTAAAAATACGATACATTTGTGGAAAAATAAATACAAATATGATTTTTTATAACTTTTGAACCATGTATGTGAATGTTTAATAAATCGAACAATGTTTTCCTACTCCTCGCAAACTTGCATATATTTTTCAATTTTTATTTCCTATTAATACTATTTTTATGAACTAATTAATACTTTAAACTTCTGCTTTAAAAGGTAACTCTCGATCGGACTGTCATAATTTTTACTACCACTATTATTTTAATACTTCATACTTATTTTAACTCATGATCAGATTATTAATGCAACCCAAAGTTAAAAATCGTTACAATCATTTTTATGATTTCCCATTGTATTCTATTTGAATTTTATAGGAGCCAGGCTATTATAGTATTTATTTTAATCAAACAAGATATTTTATTATTTAACGTAATAATTACAACTAACGCAGTACTAAAAAACATTTAGAAGAAACAAATAAAGATTTCCAATTATCTTTCATAGTCTCGGTCCCTTAAATTACGCACGTTATTCATCAGCACTGTTTGTACGCCATTTTAAGCTTGAAATTTAATTGTAGTCAACAAGAAATTCTAAGTTGCCGTAATTCCAAATAAAAATATACAAAACACCCAATCTATCTAGATGAATTAGCTATTTTAGCTTACACTCTCCAAACCCTATTAATTAACATTTTCAATTTACTGATAAGATGGTTTATAATACAAAGCAAGAACGTTTGAAATAATGTAAGCCTTCTTAATATTACATAGCACCAGCTTTAAAAGTCGTTTCGCGGGGAAGGGAGCTTTTAGACGTGCGGGATACCAATGCTATGCTCTGCGGATCTTGCAGGAGCACGAGCCGAGTAAAAGCTAAACCAAGCAGAAAGGCCTGCCCTAGGAGCTCGCGCTGGTACCGTTCCTGCTGCGAGAAAATTAGGCGGAGCTCATCAGGAAAGTTAACTTGTTGGCGCAGACTAAAGGATGACTCCGATCCGGGGAGTTGTTGTTCCACGTCGTAGTGCGTCCGCATCATGGCCAATATTGTATCTTCTGAGGAAACACGCTCCGTGCCCACCAAATGATTGAAAAGACGTGCGGAAAGAAACCGTCGCATATAGTAGAGGTTGTTGGCCTTATATTCATCAGTATCCGACCGGGCCATCAATGAGTAGCTCATGATGGCGGCCACTTGGGATTTCTGGATGTTCACGTTCTGTTGATCAATGCTGCCCGGGTTGCTAGTGGCCTGCGCCATCTGTGGACTTTCCATAACGTAGCAGTCTGCCTGTGGTATTTGGTGGGAGACGTAAAGACAGCGCCGGGAAAGCTCTGACAAGTGCAGTTTTTTATCATTCAGCTCGTGGTGTTGCCAGTGGGTAAGAATAGAAGGTGAATCGTTGGTTCCGATCTCCAATCGCGCCCAGCTTACACTAGTCACTCCGATTCTCACGCCCACGGCAGATGATATCCGTTGACGCTGTCCCTCGTCCATTGACGGTGTTATGAAAGGCGCTACTCGCGCTGCCGTTGGCTTCTTTTCGGGATTTCCACAATTCGCCGGTGCGAGCAGGCTATTAAAGAACTTGGTGGCCACCTTAAAACCGAATCCCTCTATGTAAAGGATGTCACTAAGCTCCTTCAACGGACCGTGGCGCACTTTCCAGTTGTGTAGCTTGGTGGCCCTCGCCTTGGTGATGTCGAAGCTGAATTAAACATTGAAAATAGTTAGAGGAAATTTATGATTAACGGTCTCCGCTTACCTGATCAGTTGATCCATGCCATTTTCGTTGATTGCCTGCAAGATCTTGAGGCGCTCGGCATCCGAGTATGCGGGCAACAGGCTTCTAGCATGGTCATTTTCTATCTGACCAGCTATGTGTTGCTGCGTCGACGAGCGCCGAAGGCATCCACTGGTCAGGGCCAACAATGACCGCCTGCTTAGCATATTTTTGCGGTATATCACGCTATGTCGTTACTTAATTCCATTTCGGCCATTCAGCTGTACGTTTAGTGTGGCCAGGCTCGGGATAAAGTTACAATTTTATTCAAATTTTCGATGTCTTAAATTTCCGTATCGATATAGTTACTAACAAATAAATTTGTTGAACTTACCCAAAAGTATAAATGTAAGACAATAAATGGGCTATAGATTAATTTAGGATTTATTTATTTATTATAATAATTATTTATTATTATAATAAATAAATTAACCATAAGGTGCTCAATTCAGGTCCATATTATCGCCTTTATATACCTTTTTCTGGTTTTAAAATGAAATAAGTAAATTTAGTTTTAATTTTGCGATTCCATCTGTTTAAAATAATTATAGTATATTCTATTTATGAAATATTATGATAGAAAGTTCTAAAATCACACGAGTTAACCTTTAATATAATCTGTTATTCTTGGCGATCCGATTTATCTCCCTAATTGAGATTTCTTTGGTTAATATATATAAATTATTTTTAAAGTATGTTCCTATCCTTAGTGGCATTGCTTCCATAAAATATTGAAAATAAATATGTTTTTTTAGATCGTCTAATTAGAACTCATTATCGCCTTACATTCTATCAATTTGTTTTCGGCCACATTGGCGCTAGTTGCGAAATAGGTGTTAGGATTTAAAGTCTTTATAGCCGCGCAATTGTTGTTAAATTGTTAGAATATACATATATACCAAATAACATTAGTTGGATTTACAGCTAGGAAGGGAGAAATGTTAAAGTTTCAAAAAGATTTTCTACAAAAAAGATTACATCTTAACATAGCATAACATTTTCGTTGAAAGAGAGAACTTTCCTCTCTCGTGCCGCGCTTCGTTCCAATTCGACTTTGTGCCGAGTGGAATCGGATGGAATCGGTTTGTTTTGTTCCACTCGGCCTAATTGTGAAAAATAATAAATAATAGAGAAATAATGCCAGTCTTAGTGTGTGGTGGAAGTAGCTCCGGACGGCTAAAGTGTTACAATTTATGTTTGTAAGTTCCGAAAATTAGTTAGCCGAGTTTAAATAAAAGCGAAAATAAAATTGCAATTGGTCTTAAACGAAAATGCTGCGGGAACTTGAAGCTCCAATCGAAATGTCTGGCACATAAATAAACAATAAAAAATGTACTTTTAATTGAATTCAGACAATAACAACAACGCTTTCTGGAACTCGGTTGCCTTGCCATATGTGACACCAAGCACACACATGCGCCCGTAAATTCAGAAACATCTGTTCAAGCGCGGATGCTGGTGCCCAAAAGTGAAATTCCGCAGCGCCAAGTGGAAGAGAAATCAAAGAAAGGTAGCACCATAGATAGCAAGATAGTTAGTAAGTCCTGGTCATGTCGTCGCTGGATTTCGAGACCAGCAGCTGTCGCAACATCAACAACAACAACACGCACGGATATGCGAGCAACAATAATAACAACATTAGTAACAGCAGCCTCATGCAAAAGCCAATACCCGCCCCCTCCTCCAATGCTCCCGCACAGCTGATCCAGGTCAGCTGTTCCCACGTACTGGAGTCTGAACCATCGGCTAGCAATGCAGCTAAAATCCCCGACACTGCTGCCCTGCTTGCACTGGACTCTTCTGAGGACAGCGAGTACGAACCCTTCATATCCAGCAACGCCCCAATCCGTAGAGGCACACGCTCCTCCTCCTCTTCATCCGTGCTCCGCAGCCTGAAGCGCAACTCGTGTTGGGGTCGCATTCACGGCTTCCTTACCCGAAATTGGTACCTGAGCTGTTTGGTGCCCGCCTCCATTCTGGGTGCCCTCATTTTCATCGGCTGGGCGACACGAGACTATGCCCGCCAACTGCTCTTCTGGATCGAGATGCAGAACGCCTGGATAATTTTTGCCGTCTACATGGCGCTATTCGCCCTGGTCAGCTTCCCCGTGGTGGTGGGCTACTTCGTTCTGCTGATCACCGCCGGTTATCTGTTTGGCTGCCTTCGAGGCTGGCTTATCGTGATTCTGGGCGCCAACCTAGGCATCGCCGTCGCTCATGCCACAATTCGCAGCTGCCGGCACCGTATTCCCGTGCAAAGGTGAGTAATGTAGGTCGTATGGTCGTTAACTTGCATTTCAAGCTTATAAACGTGTTACAATGGAAAGCCGTTTAGTTGGCTGACTCATTAGTATTGGCTCAACTCGATATACTTATATACATAAATATTTATTTTCATTATGCATTTTATTTAAGGATTAAAGGAGGCAAGTCCATCCGTCAGCCTTTTAGTAGTAGGTTTAAATCGTTTCAAATTTCCAAATATTCTTCAAGTATGTATACGCAGATAAGTATGATAGTAACCGAACACATATTTCCTATATCCTATATCCTATACCTATATCACACCAGTCACAGTCTAAAATCTCTAATTTTTGTTAACTTTTTTGCCGACAGAATATATCCTAAAGTTGCCATATTATCAAAAATTTTTCTAATTAAGTTGATTTCCAAGATGCCACTCCACGTTTTTTTTAATAATATAATTAAAAAACAATTTATGGAAAAACGATTTCTGGATTTAAGTGAAAAGCTTAAATATAGCCTGAAGTGAGCTGGACGATTGTCATTGGTTGACTTTGAAATATCTATTACCCAACATTTTATCTACTTGAATAATCGAGTCTAAAGTTGTACACATGCTTGTGACGAAGAACGTTACGTACTGTGCAAATAAATAAAAAAAATTACAGCGGAAATTTAGGAAATTCTCAGCATTAGTTTGTGAAGTCTTATATACTGGGAAACAATATTTTAATCGCTTGTTCAGATCGGTTTTAGGAATTAGGTTCTCTTGTGTTCTAAGTTAAGTAAAGATTCATTTTGGATTACTTGTTTTAATTATTGTAGAACTTCCAGTCTCTCACAAAACTCACAAAGGAATATCAGTAAACAAGTGATTTAGGTGAGAAACTTTCTTGGGAAAATCCTAAAATGAGCCAGAGCGGTCTTAAAATTAATTTAATTTAAGAATAATATAATAATATAATAATAATATAACTAACAAGAGGAAACGCTATAGTCGAGTGCCGCGACTATAAGATACCCGTTACTGTTTTACACAATTTTAAAATATTAATTTTGCTAGTGGAAATTCACAAGGCGCCACCTATTGTCAGAGGAAGTATGTTGAGTATGCTTATAGTGACGTCACTGCCCATGTGGAGCCTTATAACCTTAATTTCTTCATAAATAGCGAAATAATGTTCCGATTTGAAAAATCTTTTGTAAATCGATAGATATTAACAGAAATAAGTCACACAAGGTCAAACGAAGGCATTCATAATAATATTATAGACTCCACAGTTTTCCGCGGTTTGTGGGCGTTAGAGTGGGCGTGGCCAGATGCAACTTCGTGGCATGTTGCAAAGGCATCTCCTTAATACGTGTTCCTAAGCAAAATTGTGTAGCTTTTATAGTTTTCGAGATTTTTGCATTTTTGGTTTTTCGGGTTTTGAGGGCATTAGAGTGGGCGTGGCGTGATCGGAAAAAAACAATTCGCATTGGGAGCATCATAGAAACATACATGCTTGATCCGAACTTTCTGTCTCTTATAGTTACCGAGATATCAGCTTTTCTAGAAAATCCGAAAACCGTCTTTTGAGCCTTGTGGGCGTATGGGTGGGTGTGGCCGGATAGTAGTACCACTATAAGATGCGCTGTCATCTAAAGATTATACTTTCTGAATTTCAACTTTCTATCTGCAATAGTTCCTGAGATTTCAGCAATTTCAGTTTTTTGCGATTTGTGGGCGTTAGAGTGGGCGTGGCAAGATGCTGTAATAAACTTGCGCTGTCCCGGGATCTCAAGAATCTTCATGCTTAATCTCAGCTTTGTATCTGCTATAGTTCCTGAGATCTCAGCGTTCATACGGACGGACGGACGGACGGACGGACGGACGGACGGACGGACGGACAGACGGACATGGCTCAATCGACTTCGCTATTGATCCTGATCAAGAATATATATACTTTATAGGGTCGCAAAAGCTTCCTTCTATCTGTTACATACTTTTCAACGAATCTAGTATACCCTTTTACTCTACGAGTAACGGGTATAATTAGATAGAGACAATGAGGCACAAGCTGCTTGTTCTATGAAAGAATCACGTGTCACAATGTATACAAAATAATCTAAATTATACCTAAGCTATACCGTTTTTACTCGTGCACAGGGCTTATACTCGCATGTACATACATATATTTTATATAATTTTCAAGTCTGGAAAATGAAGCCATATGAGCCAGACCGCCTAAAATAACTTCCTTTGCTCTAAGTAAATGCTATTCATATTTCACCAAAAGTCCGAGCTCCCATATATCTTTTTAAGAGTTCTTATACTATGAAACTAATTGTCAGCCGTGTGATGGAGATCAGGGCACCCTATCGTCCAACAGTCTCCCAGTCCTCTATCAAGTCAATATATACCCTCTGTTCAAAATCCATTTCTTCGGTTCTTCAATGCTGCGATTGCTTCGAAATTTCAAGTATTTTTCCCGGCGGGAGCTGCAGCGTGTTTGCTCCACAGTGGCCACCTGTGATCGGAGTGATGTCCATATGGTGCTTCCATCGGTCATGCCCTCAGAGTTTGCCAAGAGAATCCGCCCGCTCCCTGTGCCCGAGCTGATCGAGAAGTTTTCCAATGACGCTCCCGGCGGCCAGTTTGCCACAATAGCAGAATACCTTCAGAGTGATCCAAGTTCTGTCGCCGTCCTGGTGCCGCAGGAGATCGATCTACACCGAAAGATGGTCCTGGATGATCTCAATGCCTATATGCACGCGAAAGATGCATTCAGGGAGACACATGGATTTAACCGAATATTTGCGCACGTCCTGGTTGTGGCTGGTGCCGAGTCTATCCCAAGATGCCCTTTGCGCCAGAAATCTGATCTACTATATCTCTGCGACTGCTTGAGACCAGGTGCGGCCCTGGTTCTCTACCGAACCCGAAAGCGAAAGACTGGAGCGTTACTCTTTCTTCCCGAGGATGTTGACTCCCAGCTGTCTACGATTTACAGCGAAATGCACCACGTTGACGACGTTCTGCCCCTCGCCATGATAAAAAAAAGTTTGCTCTGGCTACTAAAAGATCACTCTCCCGAGCTGTGGCACTCCCCCGACCCTTCGAGCTTGGTCAGCCGGATAGTAGAAGAGGCAGCCCAAGAGGCCAAAATGTCTCTGTGCAATCCGAAATACATCACCCAGTACACGCGCACAGTTAAGACAACCCGGGAGCTGAGTGCTCTGCGTCGGGCTAACGCTATTGCCGCAGATTCCATGGCGGAGGTGATGGCCCAGCCCCAGCACAGCTCCCATGAGCTGGCCACATCCTTCGACTACATGTGCCGTATGCGCTACGGCCAACCGGACGAGTCAAAGGTGTGCTGCAGATTAGATGGCAATGGGCTGTGGCAGATGAATGCTGGCTGCCAGTATGGTGGCTACGAAGGGGGATTGGCAAGATGCTGGCCAAGCGCAGGCCGGTTCACTCCGCCCCAGAAAATGCTCTATGGTGCACTGCTGGACATGCAACGCGATCTGTGCTCCTTGATTCAGTCCTCTGGAAGTGAGGGTGCTGTGCGCACTCCTCTAGAACTGCATGCCGCCTACCTAATCCTTTTAGGCAGATACCTCTGGGAGCTCCGGGTGCTGCCCAAAAGCCGTAGAAGTCCAGCTGAGACTTTCGAACTGGCCCGCAAGTACAGCTGCTCTCCAATCGTCGTCTCTCACGTAGGCCTTGGTAAACGAGACACGAGTCGGAAACTCCTCGATTACCCCCTGACTCCCGGGAACGTGATTTCGTTGCACCTGTCCATCTCGATTCCCGATGACTGCTGCCAGGCCTATCCAGAGTTCCGAGGCATCCTTTGCCAGCTCGGCGACACCTTCCACATTCGAGATGACTACTCCGTGGAGGTTCTAACAGACCTCTGCCCCACCGAGCCCCAGGCGATCGAAGTGTGCTTGCCGGCTGGCCGAGCCAGATTCTCACGATTGAAGGCTGTCGCGGACCAGGACGAATCTTGTGATAGGCGCCGGCTGCCTGACCTCGAAGGCGAAAAACAAATTGCCTAAGGCATGCCGCGGTGATAAGGACATATCCAGCAATTCCATCGAATTAATAGTGTAAACCTAAAAAGTCATATATTTATTTTTTTTGGTTCATTTATATATTAAAACTCGATATGTCATTTGTTGAGTTTATTTGAACACGTCACTCTTGTACTCGAACAGAGGCTCAGCTGGCTTCTAGTGCCTTATCAGGAATTTATAAATGTTTATGGCGCGATGTGATAAATAATTGCATGTGGTAAAAGCTGATAAGAGCAAGTTTTTACACTTCTGTTAATTACTAGAGTGGTCACACCTCCCCAGCGTATCTATCTTACCAATTATAGGAGCAAATCGAATTTCCTCCAACAACAACGTTTATCCCCCACCATATACATGAAACCAAGAATCGAAAAGGCCCCCTTAATAGCTGACTAATTGTGTGGTAACACGAAATCAGTTTATTTCCCAACTGCTGAACGGTCGACTGCGCTTACAGCCCCAATAATGATTTCCTGATTGTAGGCTAGATGAACGCCATCGCTATAAGTAGCTCTTTTATAAGTTAATCTATAAATTATTAGCATATCTAATTAGATCTTTTCGACTGATTCAATTTTCAGACTGATCAAGAATGACACGGGGCGAGCCATTCTGCGCGTGATATCTGGACCAAAGGCCTTCCGGGTGGTTCTCTTCACACGGCTTACTCCCATTCCCTTCGGAGTGCAGAATGTGATATTTGGAGTAAGTGTTCCTCGTAGATAAGACTGTTTACCTTTCAAAGGTTAAGAATTATTGTTGTTATTAGAAGATATCAATTTAAATGGTCTGAGTACGAACTCCATGCATGCTATTTGCTATTCGAAAAGCTATTGAGGCATTTCTGTTTTAACATTTTGACCTAAGACCACTTCTGTATTGGGAACAGTGTTCTTTTTGTTATTACAATTTTCAATGTGAAACCCCTGAGAAAAGTAATTACACGGATGAGGTGGCGTTAGTGAGTAAGTAAACCCAATTTAAACTTAAAACCGGTTTACATTTAAAGCCTCATCACTTGCGACTCTGACTTTGTTCAAATAAAGCAAGACACACTTATAGCTACAGAGTTGTATAACATATTATTATTTCCGTAGATCAGTTCCATCAATACGAGAGACTACCACGTGGCCACAGTAATTGGGCTGCTCCCAGCCCAGACAATCAATGTTTACTTGGGCTCCACGCTTAGGTCCATGCACGAGGTGCTTAACGACAATGAGACCAAGCTTACGGGCTATATTAGCTTTGTGTTTGAGGTGAGTTCGCTCCCGGTTTTAATCACTCTTTACATAAGATACAATACATATTAACCTTTTATTTTGTTGACAATTTGAAAAGAAACAATTGTTTTGATTCGCATAATAATTAAAATTTAAATTATATCAGTTACTTACGCCGGACAGACCACTTTCGGACCATACCTATGACGAAGCGCACCCGGTGAGTGTGCGAAGGCAATTACTATATATAGCCGCTAAACTTCTGATAATATGGTCTGATAGTATCAAATGATATGCCCATACCAAAAGTGTTGGTCAAACTTAGTTTTAGTTTTTAGAGGAGAATAATTGACTAACATCTCCCTTTCAAAATCAAATACTCCGTTTAATAATTAATAAAGTATCAAGATTTGGCAAAAGTATAAATCCTGAACACATTTCAGATTTATTAAAACAGTTAATCAGTTCAAAGTAAAAAATTAAATCGATTTAAAAAAGAACTTACGACTTGGCCGTGAAAATAAGAAAAACTTTCTACGCCCTTAACTGACGAACGGCGTAAGCGCTAATTACTAAGATACCTTTACTTTGTTTATCATTAAAAAAAGGAGTACTTTAATGTACTTTATTTTTATAATTAAAATTGAAAATTGTTACATTTTAGATTTAGAGTTTGTCCTGTATCCTTCACATGAACAAATAGCTTACAAATAGTTTCTGCGGTCAGATTGGCTTGATCTTGAAATAATAGAACTGAGCCACCAGAAAAAGGAAGATATGTATAAATTTGACTTCTATAGGATTGACAATCAGATTTTAGCAAAAAGTGCACAATATGTTTAAAGGGATTAGTGTATAATAAGATCATAGGTAAATCGAAACAATAAATTCGTTATCAAATTCAAAAAGGATATTAGAAAAGGAAAATGGTGTTAATGTTAAATGACCTTGGCATTGGGAGATAATGCCTATAAATACAAAAATAAAACGATCATTTTTGTTTCCGGCTTATAGTAGTTTTAAATAAGTTATGATTAAAACTTTAGTTATTTATCAAATATTATTATTATTACTTCCAGTTGACTTATTCTTATTGTTTAAACATACATGCTAATATTTGCAGAGCTTTATTAAAAATAGAAAATATAAACTGACATAAATGATATTCCCAATTCACTTGTTCACTTCAAGGTAATTTGCGGAGTGGTCCTGATGTTCTGGGTCTTGCAGAAGGCGAGGAAGGAGCTGTCAGAGACCCTGCTAATTGCTGATTACAACAACGAGGGCAAACACCCAGACATACAGGTCTAGCAGGAGTCACATGGGGCTGAGAGCTTCCGCAGAACACCCAGCCCAAGAGAATCTTCTGGACTTTAGGACAAGACTGCTCTTTTGCATTAACTAGCTTAAGCGAGGGATTAAAATGTTATTTTATTTATTTGCGCTCAAGGCAATGCCATCGATACCAAACATTACGCTAGTTTAAGCAGTTTGTACGTTTCGGACTCGATTCACAAGCTTCCCTCAAAAGTGCTCCCGAGGGTGTTACGCTCCACATCACAATTAGTTTCCTTCTGCCAAGGATGTTAATGACTAAGTCAAAGCCTCGCTCAGAAAATGTTCACTTTACAATTCGATTTAAGGTCATAATGCTGCTCTATAACGTTGTTCAATTACTAGTTTGTAAGTGAAGAGAATAAATGAGCTATGATGTACACATAGCCTATCTCGTTAGCGGACTGTTCCTCCAGCTGCGGGGGCCTTTGCTCATGTGGAACTTAAAGGCGGCCTCCAATTTCTCCAGGGCAAACTCCACATCTCCGGTGCATAGGCACAGGGGAGGTCTCAGGCTTAGAACCTGCAGAAGGAAGAAATCTTTTTCACCTTAAGCCGATTGGATTTGTAATGACGTGCATTTTGAAGAAATTTTGATTAGAAAAGGTAGGTATGACACTTTGAAATATGACACACTTTTTCCCATTGTAGCTGTGACAAACTTTCGACAAAACCTTAATGATTTCAGTGCTTTAACCATGCATGCCAATTTTAAATTTAAACTTGCTTTGATAATAGAATAAACCACGAGAGTCCTTGATTTTATCCTTCGAATTACCAATTTTAGATAAAAATATTCTGATTGTATATGACATTGCCACGACTTTTTACACGTATATTACATTTTTCTATATCCCTTAGTTGTGTTGCATACTTTTAGCCATTTTAAAATGTAAAAAATCTTTAGCATTTTTTAAACTGATGATAACAAAATGTATAAGAAATCTTGTAAGTAAGTTAGTAACTTAAACATCATTTACATATTTTTATTATCGGGTAATAGTTTTATTGGGAAATTAATCAAGTAAAAGTATATTTTATCAGTTAGTATGTATTTTGTGGAAGGTAGAAGTTATTTTTATGAATTGAGTTCCAATGAGTAACACTAAATGAAAATGTGTCAATATTAAGAACAAGATTTGGATGATTTTTAACAACAAAAGATACTTTCAATAAACTTATTAATTTAATAAATGCATTAAATTAAATTAGGTGTTTGGAATTTTAAATGAATTTCCATTACTAATTAAATTTATAAATTGGCCTTAAGTTTTTGATCAGACGAAAAAGTGCCTAGCTACGGGGAATAACGTTCTTACTAAAAAGTCAACCGATTGGTTTGTGCAAAACACTTAATGTTTTTTAAAGATACTTTTATGTTTAAAAAATTTGATACATAAAAAACAATTCTTAAAAATATTTTACAAAGTATAAACAAATTTTTAGTCGTAATAAGGTTTATTTTCTAAGGGACTTCACTTATTTTCTGGCCTAATAAATGCAACTAAGACCTTCCTATCATACTCCATCTATTTTATGTACTCCCATTGCCCATCTGGATACCCATCAGTTAATCTCCGCGACTCCCGGACTCCGTGATGGCCCGGGCTAGCACATCTACGGCAAACGTCGCGTCAGCCCGAGTGATGCACATGGGAGGCTTGATGCGCAGAACCTGTGAAAATGCACGAAAGGATGCACCGATAGAGACAGGAGGAAATGATGACTCGCCGGATAAAGAGCATCCAAAGAGACCAGCTCGTTTGGGGACTCTTCATCGGGGTAATAGTGTTAGTCAGATGTGCAGAATGACGACAGAAGATCCCCGACTAGAACGCACTTCGCCCAACGAATAGATCTCACTTACATTTCCATGAAGACCTCCACGTCCGAAGAGCACGCCCAGGTCCTTGCACTTCTCCCAGATGTCCAGGACATGGGGCGTGGCCAGGGGAGTACGCTTTTCTCGATCGCCTACCAGCTCCACACCGATCATGAGACCTTTGCCCCGCACATCACCAACGATCTCGAAACGCTGCTGCAGTTCAGCCAGCCCTTTGAGGAAGTATGTTCCCACCTCCAATGAGTTGCGTTGCAGCTGCTCCTCCTCAATCACGTCCAGCACTGCGATGCCCACGGCACTGGCCATGGGGTTGCCTCCGTAGGTGTTGAAGTGCAATGCCTGGCCCAGAGAGGCGGCTATTTCGGGAGTGGTGACGACAGCAGCCAATGGGAAACCGTTTCCTATTCCTTTGGCCATGGTTACTATGTCGGGCACGAAGTCGTGACCCTCGAAGCCCCAGTAATGTTCGCCGGTTCGTCCAAAACCAGTCTGCACCTCGTCGGCAACAAAAAGCCCTCCGTTTGCACGGACCAGGGCGGCGGCCCGCTTCAAATAGCCTTTGGGAAACTGCACCGTACCACCAACACCCTGGATGGACTCTGCGAACATGGCCGCAACTTTGCCGCGAGGTAGGGAGTACTTAAAAGTCTCTTCCAACTCTTTGTAGTACGCGTCACCCGCCTGGCAACCCTCCGTGCATTGGCATTGGCGGGTCGTTTGCACGGGCGAGTCACGACATTTCGACCCTCCCCAAATGCCCAGGTAGGGATCGGGGTTCATTACGTGGACCAGTCCATTGTTCACTCCCGGCAGCGGGAACCGCCAGGTGGAGTGAGCCGTCAAGCCCATGGTGTACGGCGACATTCCGTGGTAACAGTTGCGGAAGGAGAGGATGTCCTGGTTGCCAGTGTGTAGGCGCGCCATCAGCATGGCCAGGTCGTTGGCCTCCGAGCCGGAGTTCACGAAGCACACGCTCTTTAAGTTCCCCGGAAACTTGGCCACCATACGCTCGGCGTACTCGTGAATCTTGGGGTGCATGTAGATGTTTGTCGTGTGCCACAGTTTTGCGGTTTGCTCGCTTAACGCCTGGTTCACCTTTCTAATAGTAGTTAAGGGATAGGCATGGATTGAAAGGAAAGTTCAAAATATGAGATGTGCCAATAAAGAATGAAGAAGGTGGACAGAAGCAGAAAGTTAGTAGTGATCCTCAATGAGATTTGATAACTCAAATAAAACTAGCATAAAAGAAACGATTTGGTTGATATGAACGGCAAAAAGACGTTTTGTTATCTAAAACTCGAAGTAATGTAATCTACTAAATATTTATGTTGTTTTCAACACGAATAAACTTATATTTCGAACTTAGTTTAATTTTTTGTTGCTTACGGATGACAATGTCCAACGGACACAGTGACGATTCCACCAAACATGTCTAAATACCGCCGTCCCTCGTGATCGAACAACCACTGCATGTGGCCCGCGTGGATCACCAATGGCTTTTTGAAGTGCGCCAGCAGGTTGGGTGTCAGATGGTTGCGTCGCGTCTTGAGGATCTGTTCGTAGCTGGAACCTTCGTACGCCACTGGTCGATGGTCGCACTCGGGCATCTCGCTCTGCGTCTGCTTCACCACACCGGCCGCTGCCTTTGAGTGCAGCGTTGAGCTCGACCTCTGACGGAGCGTGGATCTCAGAAGGACCCGACTTTTTTGAGCTGAAGGGTAGGGTATTGGTTAGCTATTGCTGAATTGCATATTCATAAATTTCAGTTTCACTGCGAGCTTCAAAGAGTAAAGACGTGCAACTAACTTACGCTCCAAGCGACAGCTTATCAACTTAATCTGTAAATAGATCACCCGATTCTCAGCTACTTCGTGCTTAATTACAAATAAAAAAAAATACAAAAGAACACGCGAACTAAAACCTCAAAATGTTATTGACGTCCGTAAAATACTAAAAAAAAGACAACAACAATACAAATTAAACAACAGAAACCGGCCTAATTTTACTAACTTTTTCAACAATTACCCTATCCTAGGATATGAAGTAGTTAATATACGACCATACATTCCACCCCCCATGAGATGTTTTAACTGCCTTAGATTTGGACACCCCTCTGCCTACTGTAAAAGCCCTAATTGCTCTGAAAAAATCCACACAATAAACAATGAACCATGCACAAAGTTGGGGATCACAAAATAATAACTCAGGAGGAACCTTATTATTCAAATTTATAAACCAATCCATTCTAACCACTCTTAATAATGGCTCCCACACCCACTTCACCTCCCACCAGACCCTTACACATATTGACCTCTCTCTAGCTTCCCCTGAACTAATGATACAACATTTACCAGATTCGGTAATGCAAAGGCTACTTAAACTCTACAACAATATCCTCAACGCACACATTCCACAGCAATTTAAAGTACGCAACATTATACCAATATTAAAACCGGACTCAAACAAAACTTCCTTCATAACGTCCTATATCTTTAAATAGCTGTTTATACAAGGTAATGGATAAAAAATATCTAAAAGACTATGCTGGCTAGTTAACAATAGCCAACTACTTGATAGTCGTCAAATGGGCTTCAGAAAGGAAAAATCGGTATCAGACTCTCTAGCAACGCTAGATTATGATTAGGACGAAAAATGATCAAATATAAATAAAATTTTTAACTAACCGAAAAATCTGCGTATAAATTCAAAACATACAATCCCAACCCTTACCACTTGAAAATGGCATCCCAAAAGGATCACCATTTGCACCTTTTTGCAATTGCCTATAACAAAGTCAATAGAATCATAGGTCTCACCAGATCGTTCAAATTTACAGCATACGCAGATGACTATACAAATATAAAATACACAGAAGAGATACGTCAATAAACATAAACCCACTGCTCACAGAGATTCAAGAATGGTGCAATTACTCTGGAGCCAGTTTTTCCATTCCCAAATCAAATATTTGCAGTTTTGTCGCAAGAAGAAATGCAACTTCAAAGTAGCTAGCACTTTCAATTTAAAAAACGAAAAATCGTTAAAAATATTAGGTATAACTATAACCAATAATTATAAATGGGACGTACACATAGAACAGATAGTGATACAAATTTCTAAAAGACTAAATATTATAAAGCACAAGTTTCAACTGACACATTAAAACCATTATTTATGTAATTTACTCAGTTATCATGTCAAAAATTGATAATGGGTTATTTCTATACGGAAAGGCACCAAATCAAAACTGAATAAAATAAAAACGATATACCACTCAGTTATTAGACTATCCTTCGGGGCATTTCGCTCCTCACCAATAAACAACCTGCTATACGAAGCTAAAATAAGCACTATAAAACAGAGAAATAAAAAGGCCATATTAAAAAACTTTAAAATGATTTCCACCGCTAAGAAAACGCCCCTAGAACAGATTATTAAAAATATGTCAAAAACAAAACGAATCCCAAAATTGTCATCAACAATAAAAGATACGATTGACAACTACAAAGCAATATTACTATACCGTATCCCCATAACAATTAAAAAAGAAACCACACCAGCGTGGTCCTATAACTTTACTTAAATAAACAAATCCTTACATACTTCAACAAAACCAAACACACCACCAATCAAAAGTTCCAAGAAATAAAAGATACCCACAAACAGCACACATTCTTATACACAGACGGTTCCAAGTCTGTCAATGGAGTTACCTACAGCGTAACTTCCACACAAAATATCATAACACAGCAAAATCTGCCACCTTATTCATCCATTTTCACTGCTGAAATAGCAGCCATCCTCCACGAATGTAAATATACCGAAAAACAAATATCCTTAAATACATCAGCAATCACATAAAAGCCCAAAATGACCTTATATGGAAAAACACATCTGTACACTACAAACTCACAAAAAAAAAAAAACATAAAAAATCCAACTATATCTCGGATAGATACCATTAAATTTAGGAGACTCCGAATGGGACACACTAAACTGACACACAGCCACCTATTTGATAAAACACCTACACCCATATGCCAACAATGTAACCTTAACCTTACCCTATCACACATACTCGTATTCCTAGAATGCCCTACCTACATTGAACACAGACGTAAATTCCTCCAAAAAACTTTAGATGAAATAGTAGCTCCCATAAATATAACCACAACTATCCAATACCCAAAACCCATAAACCTTTACAACAACGTTTAAGTCAAAAAAGCCATTATTGTTACAAATATCATATTATTTGCTATCCATCTATCCATTACTGTTATATAACACATACATATTACATATTATAAAATAGATTTTAAGCAAATAGCCATTGTAGCTATTGCTTAACACTAAGCAAAAATTGTCCGCACTTTATAATTATTGGTAATTTCTTTACACTAATAATAATATTCATAAATTTGTTCTTGTTATCATTATCATTATTAGATTAAAGGCCGAACAGATGAAAAGCGACTAGGCTAGACATCTTGATCAGGATCCATATAAACTTTACAGGTTTTCACAATTCACCACACCTGTATTTTTGAAATTGTGACTTGTTATTGATTTCTTTAGCGGAAAGGTGTGTCCACAAGGGTACTAACCGCTTTAATACCCGCAAAATAAATAAAAGTCATTTGCATGTTTCTGGTGGCTCAAGGCGACGGTTCTTTACCCCTAAGCTTTAAAATAGAGTTAAGTAAAAACTCTTTAGTCCAGTGCTGCGACTATCAAATACCCGTTTCTGTTAACGCTTCCTTTGATGTTTTTTATACTTTATTTATAAATGATTCCCTTTTATTTGGTATAATTATCAATAAAATGTTCGACGTCTTTATTTTTTCTTAAGCATATACTCGTATCTTGAGTTTTGGAGAGTATAAGTTAATATGCTCGCTATATATTTGACAACTTTTAAAACAAATAACACAGAAGCATTTGAAAAATGATTGTGCTTGAAATATTTTAGGGTGTTTAGACTTTGGCATTTTTTTTTAATTGAGTTAACAGAGCTATGGGTATCTAGTAGGCGATGTAAGCCCCTGCTATCGTATCTATTGGAGAAAGTAGTGCAGGTAATGTGGTTTTTGACCTACATAGGACATATTTAATTTTACAGCTGGCGAAGTATTACAGTTAATGTTGTTATTAATTAAACTGAAACGCAATTTCCTAGTAAACAAGTGTTTAGCCGGCGTATTAATACCAAACAGAAAATGCAGCTGCACTTGCCCACGTGTGATCGAGTTCCAGCTAGAAGTGAAAACAAATTGTAAGGGGTCATTGGCCCTGAATTTGCCTCCAATTGTCCGTGTCCAGCTTCAAATGCGCTATGGGAACCACAATTGGCTCTTATGAGTACTAAGCAACTATCCCCATTCCAGTTGATAATAACTGGCCCCCCGCTGACAGCCTAGGCCACTCCGAATCCCAGTGCGCTTGGGAATAGCTCTCGATTATCAGCGTGCCACTTGTCAAATTATCAGCTCTTGCTTATCTCTCTTATCTGTGAGTCGCCCAAATTCGACTAAACGTGGACCAGGCGTGATTAGCTTTACCTTTAAGGAAGGTACACTCGAAGAAAATAATTATGCCATTACACATTTCCAAATATTTTTCCAAATTAAATTATTTTTTGTAAATTTTAAATTTATAAGATCAATACTCTTTGGCAAAAAGTAGCTAAGTTCATTTCATACATTTTACAAAGCACATTCTCCTATTGTTAAAAATCCATTAAATGAAACCACCTAACCTTTTTTTTTCGAAGGTATTTCAAATATGCACTCAACATTCAACATTCAACAGCATAATAACATAATTACTAAATAGTTTTTCGATTCACTCTCTCCCAAAAACACAAAAAGCCACAATATATTTCAATATCTACAAACCCCGATCGACCGATATAAATTTATAAATATATTCCAGTTCCAAAGTGGCTCTTAGCTAAGAAACAGGCGATTTTTCTATTAGATCAACACACCAGCAGTTGCCGGAATATATCAATCCTTCCCAGATTCTGCAGTGAACTCACCCAACAATCGTTTAGACATCATTTCTAGTGTCAGTTTCTTCTAATTTTCTTTTTACACTTCTCGGTATATACCTATGTATATTTATTATTTTGCACTTGGCAGCACTATTTGCACTACAGTCAAAGCACCACCAGATGATCTACACGTCCACGCTACGGCGTCAGTCGACCAACTGATCGGCGGACACGCAGCTCGTTCGATTGCAAGCGGAGAAAGCTCGGTTGACGGACAGCTTTTGTCGCTGTTATCAGATTGGGGAGCAAAGTCAAGGCTGTGGAAAAGCCTTCGCACTCCCGCAGGGGGCCTGGTTAGAAAGCGCTGCTATCACACAGTGTGTACACAGCTTGTTGTCTCATAATAATTTATTTCAATTCTTGTTTGCTATGTACTGAAGCACAAACTACTGAAGTGCACAGGTAATCCTTTGTTTTTAACAAAAAATATATCGCATTTATCGCTCCTTACTAATCGCTGCGCAGGCTCCTTAGCCCGTACTCAAGGCGCTGTTTGATCTGGGTGGCGGACATTTAACATTTTAGTGTAATTTACATTAGCCGTTGATATTAGGTAGGTCCTTGAATATGCTATATCGATTTATGAAGTACGAATTATATATTTTGCTTTATCAACCAACATCACGAGTTTGCGCTTTGATTCTCACATTGCCCCTCCCTATCCATTACAGACTCCTCCGACTTTTCTTAACCCAATGCAACAGATTATACGGAAACATAAAATATTCGCTGCGTCTTCTAAAAACAAGCTCTATGCGGCGTCGTGGCCTACAGTGATTACACAAAACAACAATAACCAATATCAGCTGAGCCCCTCCGATGAGCCGATCCCGGGCAGTTCAGTTGAAGTCGGTGTACAGGTCGGGACTTCGGGGCGTTGTTGTTGGTTGGGCGGGCTGTTCCAAGTTGGCCGCCATCTGGCGCAGATTATCAACGCCTGTCAGGAGTTGCCTGCAGGGAAAGGCTGGTTAGGATGATTGGTCTTTATTTGTTGATTTGACTTGCCTCAGGTTCTGCTCCGCAGTGTCCGCGGCTCGCAAAAGATCCCTTGACAAATGGTGCGTTCTGGACGGTCGAATGGAGCTGATCCCGCTGCCTTCGCTACCAGGAGTAGTAACTGGGACTCCTCCCGCGGCACAATCAGACCCGCCGCTGCCTCTTAAGGTGCTAAGCTCCGACTGAAAAAGTTAAAGAAATGAGAGGATTTTAACAAAGATTTTTGATTATGTTGAAACAATTAAAAGCTAAAAACTATCAGGTACGATTTAATAAGAGACATTTTCTACAATAAAAAGAATATATAAACCAAAACATTTAGAAGCGAATAATTCGAAAATCTCTTTATAATTCAAAACAAATTCGTTTGTAATCGATCGTTTTTGTGGCATGTATAAAAGCTAATAAATGTGCATGGGACTGTCATAATAACTTTGCAATTTGGCTCATTGAGCAAGCTGATGACGAGCTTTTTAATTTTTTTTTTTTTAATAAAAATTAAACTATAAAATTTGTGGAATTATTAGACAGCATCCTCGATAGTTGCACTCACCTCCAATTGGGCCAACTGGCGTCTCAGATGCTGCGTGGTTTGTGTGTTAGTCGTTGCCAGAGCCTCACGTCGCCGCGCGGTTTCGGAAAGCTGCAGTAGCTGCTGCTCAAAGTCGCTGGCCCGCCTGGTCTGAACATTAAGTTCCGCTCGAGCCTCCTGCAGCTCCCGCTGCAGACGCTCATTCTCCTGTCGCAGAGTCGAAAGTTGTAAAGCACCAACTGCTTCCTGAGGAGGCGAGTCAATGGAATTGGAGGGCAGCCCAATAGCCACGTCGGCCAATCGTTGAGACGAGTGAATTATAGGGCCGTCGGATAGGAAGTCAGGCAGCATTTTAACGGTCGAGCTGGTAGAAGGATCGCCGGGCGGACCAGGGAGAGCGGCAGAAAGAGGACCCCTGAGTGCGAGGGACGACGGCAGTAGTCCTACTGCCCCATTCGACTCCTCAGCACCTCCTAGGGGCGAGTTGGGGGGCGAGCTCAGGGCATCCTGACCAGCGCACCAAGCATCTGGCAGGTGATCTTGCACGAAATCAGGCAAGCCAGACGCTGCAGCAACACCAGGGCCTGCTCCGCCACTCGCTGCGTTGCACGATTCCAGGGGAAGGTCAAGCTTCATTTTGGGGCCTGTGGATAAAACTAGTCGCGTGGGACGTTGGTCGCGGTTTCCAGTTGGTCTACGTCGCGGTGATGTTGAGGGGCACGGCATTTCGTAGTTGGAGTACGAGCGTGGTACGTAGCGTGTGCTAAGAGCGGGTTGCTGGTTGGAAGCGGCGGATGGGAAAATATCTACAAGAGTGGATCGTTAGGGAGAGCTCAAGCAATCAACCGGAAGCCGTATCAAACACTCACCATCATCTATTCGCTCGTCGTAATGCCTGCCAGTGTTGCGCATTTGGGCCAAAGCCACGTGATCGTCGTCGTCGTTGTCAAGTGCATCTTGTACGGCGTCATGGCTCAACCGAAGATCCGGTCTCAAGCGGTGTTGGGACCCACCGCTGCTGGTGGAGGCACAAGCTCCCGCGCAGGATGCGTACTCAGCCAGACTCGCCTGCGAGTCAAAAGAGCTGAAGCGCGGAGATCTCTTCATTCTGGAGGATGCGCTGCTGCCGTTCACGTCCGGCGGCTGCATGTGGGAGGCGGAGGCTGACTGGGGCACCTTGGGTCGGGCGCCCGTAGATGTCTGCACAGCAGCCGATGTTACCGTGCTTGTTGGAGCTGTCACAGTACCCGTGCTGCTAAGAAAGTGTTTAAATGAGAACGAGGACGAAGACGAAGAGGCTGCTCCCGATCCCGCTCCACTCGTGGACGTGGAGGACCGCATGCTGGAGTAGTCAGCACCGCGGCCATGGATGCAAACGTCTGCCACGAGATCTGTCACACCTAGAGCCGAGGAGGCGTTCTCCTTGGAGGACACCGTCACCTCTGGCAGGAGCGCCTGCTGCGCTGCTTGGGCAATCCGCTGCTGCGGGGTGGCCGTGGCCGCCGCTTCAGTCGCACTCCCATTTGCCATTTAATTGCAAAGGCGGACGCGAAGCGGTGGACTATTCTTGATGCCAGAATCTCCTGCCTGACTGTCGGCTGTGCTAGGCGGTCCGTGTGTGTCCTGCTGTCTGTGGCGACTATGTTTCCCTGCCTCCTGTGGTTATATTCTCCTGAATCTCAGTTATTTTCGCATCCCATTTTCCCTGCTACTTTTCACTTGAGCAGTGTGGCCGCTTATATGTTTATACAATTTTATTACTAAAATATACTATGAAAATACCATAAATTTTTTTTATCATTTTATTTGTTAAAATAAAATGTTGACATATGATATTGTCAAATTTTCACTACAAAATTAAACTCAAAACGGAGACCAAAAAATTTCTACTTTATATCGGAAGAATGGCATTCGTTAACAAAGGAGTCCACGAAAATATACTTAGATATGAACAGATTAATTGTCAATATTAAATACATAAGTTTGAGGAATACCGTTTATATAGTTCCGTAAGTCGCAGCACGCGCAGTGTTGGTAAATACGAGCAGTTCAGCCATAGTAAACAAAACGCGACGTTCGGTTCGCTGCGCATTTTTAATGCAATAAAAGCGAAAGGCTAGCCAAAATCACGCAACTGCCGTCGCATTACATTTTGTGTAATTTTATTCAGACTTGGCGTTATCTTCTTAGGCTCGACTTTGCAGTTTTCAAGTGATTTGTAGCATCGCATTTGCAGATGGAAAATTCTGCGTAGCAAACAAACCGGTCGGTGCTCTCGTACATACATTGTATATACACTATATACACACAGACAAGTTCAGACGCGTACATGGCCGAGGAAAAAGCGTCGCAGTGCATGTTGTGTGGCAAATTAATTGCGCCGAGGGCCTCAAAAAACGATCTTATTATTTTTGGCGTCCATATGCAACCTCTCTGTCGCGCCTCTGCCCACCCGCTGCTGAGTCTATGCTGCGGGGGTGCGGGTGCGTTGATGTGAGCCTGCATCTTGGTGCGTGTGAGTGAGTGACAGTGCGAAGGTGGTGAGCTAAAACTTCGCGTAGTGTGAATTGCCGTGCAAACACACAAACCGCCCACTAAAACACCCCTTCCGCTCTTCCAACAACGACCACGACAGCAGCAGCGAGTGTTCCACTTTCGAATGTCCTGATTTCCCTGCAGTGCAGCCAGGACAGCAGCTTCTTTGCTGGCGTGTTCCTTGCCCTATTTTTTAGGAGCAAGACGCCGATAGAAGAACTCCGACTCTGGGCCAGGACATTTGCAACATGCTCGGGAGCTGCGACAGGTAAGCGTTAGTTGGAGCCTGTTCCAATCAGACCCTTGTCCTGGTTCAATTGGGAACACCAGCTCGGATCGGGCCACGGCCTCATTTATTGACTCTCTCCTCCTCTCCTTCTCTGCCTCTCGTTCTCCTACCCCATCTTACGCTGGTTGCCTTCTATCTGGCCTCTTGGCTTTTCCCCTGCATTTCCACACGCGTCGGCCTTTGCCTTTCTTTCACCTTGTACAGTGGAGCCGACCACTTATCAAATTACAAAAAATTCACTTTTTGGGTCTTCCCTGTGTCTTTTTCAAAAGCTCGGAGAAAAAACAAATGTAAATTTTGCTTTCATGTAAAATGTATTTTCTTTCAATAATTATTAGTGTGTAGGAATTTACATTTTTTAAAGGCATTTACCTAATTTGTTTTACTGGCCAATTAGTAATTCCTAGACTTATTTCGCTCCACTGTGCGCTGGCCTTAGAGTTTCTCGTCTGTCATTGCTGCCTCTGCTTTTTCTTCTTTCTTCGTTTTGTATACAAATTATGGTGCGGCTGTTGTTGTTATTGTTTTTGCAGTTGTTGTTGTTTTAAGCTTTTATAGGCAGTGCATTTCACGTGTTTGTTGTTGTTGTTGTTGCTTCTGCTGCTGCTGCTGCCGTGTTGCTGGCCATATATACTATATACTGGTAAAACGTTATAAATATAGACTTTAATTTGCTTTTGGCTGTGTTTAGTTGTTGTTGGTGATTATTTGAAAATTGATTTTGTTTGGTCTGCAGTTAATAATTCATCCCCTGGTCCTCTCTTTTGCTTCTACCCACTGTGCTATGAAGCGTGCAATATGGTAAGAAAAGTGGAAATGCGGCCCTTTTTGTTTGTCAGCGGTAGGAATGTGATGGTGTTGGTTGGACTCCTTCTTTGCTGTGCGTCTTGGTAATTCAATTAACGTCTTCAGACCGCCCGTTCCGCCCCCTTCCACTTCACCCCGAAAGGGACCAATTTGTTGACCCATATTTCGACATTTTTTCTTTGCTGTTAATTAATATTTGTAATTCTCGTACTCTGTTTTGCCTTTGATGATGGGTGCTGTTCGGTGGCCTGTGATAACCCACCATCGGGATGGTTTTCATTACAAAATAACAGTTTAGTCGCCCGACCGTCCTCAGTACCTTGGTCTGTGGTAGTCTCCTTATCCTCTTCCATTGTGCATGGGTGCATTTAGTGCCATAGTTGTTCATCCATTTCAATTTTCCACAATAAGGCACCAAAAGATAGGCAGGGCCAAAATTGTTAAATATTAGTATAAAAAGAGACAAATACAAGTTCATTAAGGGAAAATAGGGCTTATACTATTATACGCTGTTTCGCAATATTTAGGTCAAGTGTTTTTAACAGGGTTTTTACGCTTTTCTGAATTGTGGATGGACGTTAACAAATGACCCTTAAACTTTTAAAGTGAGAAATAAGAACTAGGACATTTTGTCTATCCTTCATCCGACCTGACTTACGTTTCGCTTCTTTTGGTTTTCCAGCTCTCCGCTAAACCATTCGATGCGTCCCGCGCAGTGATCGTTAGCCTATAGGCTTACATGCGTTAGATTGGGATTGGACAGCGCCCAGATGTCGTCGAGCAACGGTGGCCTTAGCAGTGCCACCAATGGACGTAGCGGCAGTACCGGTAGCGCAAACATCAACCTTAATCTCAAAGGGCAGGAGAGGTCTGTTGGAGCACCTGGGATTGGTGCATCTAGTGCCACGACCACGTCAATTACACACAAAACACTGCCGGACCTGAAGACACAAAGGAGCAATAGCGCCTGCCACGCCCACGAGTCTCTGTCCGCCCTTCGTCGCATTGCACTGCCGGAAAAGCCGCCCGAGAAGCCGTTGAGCTATGGCGCGGCTCAAAGCCGGGTCATGGTTAAAGAGGCAAAGGACGAACACCTGGTATACTGCGAGGGACGGCTACATTCGGGTCCGCTGCTATCGCTTATTACCCACATGGTCCCCACTCACGAATATTATCCAGACGAGGGTTTTGTTTTCGCCTTCCTCCTCAGCGCTAGACTTTTTGTGCGCCCCCACGAGCTTTTAGCGCAGATCTCCCAAACATGGGAACAGCAGCAGCAGGATGTGGGCGCAAGCGGAGATGTTGTGGACGATGCCGGACAGTTGCCACCCGGTCGGTCTACGTTGTTTAGCATCAACTCCGCCTCTCCGCTGACCCAGCGGAAGGGATCAGCGTCGGCGGTCACTGCCATTACGGAGCTGGAGCCGCGTCCACAGCAGCGGACGACTACTCAGCGTTCTGCCCAACACTGCATCAAACTCCTGTCGGAATGGATCGAGATTTTCCCTTACGATTTTAGAGATGAGCGGTTGATGCAGCAGGTGCGTATTCTGGCAAGAAAATGCGTCTACATTGACAACTCTTTGGGGAAGCAAGTGTCGCGAATCCTTCAGCTCCTGGTCTCCCGGCTGACGTCGCTAGAGCAGTATGAAGAGTTTCTGCAGACGCTCAGCTCCGAAGAGGCGCAGAATCAGCAACAGCAGCACCACCACCACGGACATCATCATCACTTGCAAAGTGCCTTCCAGACACTTCTTGGCACTTCTACTCATGCCAACGGGGCTAATGGCGGTGGATCTGCTAGCGGCACCTCCAATTCCTCCTCCAGCGGCCATACCTCTTCTGCATCTGCATCCAACTCGCTCTCCACCACTCCCCAGCCGGATGAAGTGTTCGGCATCATGGACATGTGTCCGAGCTGTGGACAATTGGCCCACCAGCTGACTGCCATTGAACTGGAACGCTTGTCGCATATCGGGCCTGAGGAATTTGTCCAGGCCTTTGCAAAGGATTACCAACAGCAAACCAAGGATGGTAGCAAGGAAGGCAACAAAGGCAAGTGTAGTGGTAGTGCCGGTGGTTCGTTGAACGACATGAAAAAGACCCGTAATCTGGAGTCGTATGTGCAATGGTTCAATCGTCTCAGCTACTTGACGGCCAGCGAGATTGTCAAGGTGGGTAAACAGTATTTTGATGAGCAGGTATGAGCAGAAGATAATAAATACGGTTTTTTCAATGTGTCCCTAACAGTACCCTAAAAAGAAGCAGCGTGTGCGCATCATAGAGTATTGGATTGAGACAGCCCGCGAGTGCTTCAATATTGGCAATTTTAATAGTCTGATGGCCATAATAGCTGGTCTAAATCTGGCTCCAATAGGCAGACTTAAAAAGACGGTAGGTAGTTTGCAATATTTAAATTATTCTGACGGTAACGATTTCCACCTTAATAACCAGTGGGCCAAGGTGCAATCGGCCAAGTTCTCCGTGCTGGAACATCAAATGGATCCAACATCGAACTTCAACAGCTATCGCTCAACACTCAAAGCTGCAATGTGGCGCTCCGAGGGTGCTACTGAGGAACGCGAACGCATAATCATTCCATTCTTTAGTTTATTTGTTAAGGACTTGTACTTTCTGAACGAAGGATGTTCCAACCGGTAAGTTAGCTTTATAGTTTACCCCTGAGATTACTAATCGAGAATTCATTTTTTTTAAATAGGCTGCCTAACAATCATATCAACTTCGACAAGTGCTCTCAGTTGGCCAAACAAGTGATGGAGTTTAATGAGTGGAAGAAAGTGAAGTGTCCTTTCGAAAAGCTGCCCAACGTCATAGCCTACCTTCAACACAGCGCAGTGCTTAATGAGAACACTCTTTCCATGGCCTCTTTCGAGTGCGAGCCGCCGGAAAACACGGAGGAAAAGGACCGCTACAAGACCGTAAAGGCGGAGACGAAGCAACAACTGCTACAGCAGCTGCAAGAGCAGCAACAATAGTCGAAGTAACCACTATGTAGAGGGTAGACTAAGCTACGCTCAAGCGCTTGCCATGATTAATTTTTCTACTAGACTTGTAAGACCGGGGAATATTTTAGCTTAAGTTGATGCAAACGATGAGTACAGAGGGTGACCAAGCCTCAAGCCCTGAATAGCCTTTTCCTGCTTAAAAAAGCTTCTGAAGCTTAAATCTCCATCTTGTTAATCACTTTTGACTTTTGTTTTTACCCTTCTTAGTCTGATCTTTTCCGGAATCCTTACTGACGGGTGACGGCGGGTCCTTTGAGAGAAGGCTCTGATACGTTGCCAGTAATTTTATTTATTTTATTAGTCGATTAGGAGGATGGAGACAACGAACCAATGTACTTAAAGCCTTTATGGCTACCATCTAATGCAACAAATTTAGTTATTAGCGTGAAAAATGTGGTACAGCGTGAATCATTTATGATATATTTATTATAAACAACATCTGACAAAGCTGCATAAGTACGCGATATTCGTACGTGACCAGTATTTATATTTATGTATACAATTTTATAGCTAAATGAAATCCTTTTGATATTCCGTAAAGATTACATTACATCCGAGTATAGTCCAACGGAGTGCACGATGATTCTGTATCGAGGCTTTTCTGCATCAGCAACATATTTCGGCAACTGTCAGTCGCTGAGTACACTTTCGTATAATTAAGGAAATCGACCGAACAAGAAGTAAGAAAAGCTACAAAGCAAAGGACACTTTGTGGTTAAAAGATGCTTTTCCTCTATAAGAATTTTATTTTTAACAATGCAATTGCAAGATTAAGTAATATTGTGGATGAAATCTTAAATGATATTAACTATAAAGGGACTAAACACACCATTAATGATTAAAACTGCTTTCGAATAAAGAATACGAACACAAACAGTTCTCATAACAAAATGTTAGAACTTTTCGTTGGATTTGATAACTGTCATAGAAAAATTCCTTGACAAGGTAAAAAGGGTAAGATTACAGCTAAATTTTTTTCTTATTTTAGGTCGCCACTGGGTCTATTTAAGCCCACGTTTTAAACACCAAAGAAACTTACATTCTATTTTTGAGTATTTGTTTAGGAGGAAACTGCAGTTCCTACAACTTTTTATATTTTGGTTCCTGTACAGCTGAGCAGAATATATTACGTACCATTTACTTTATAAACAAAAATTATTAAAAATTTTAGAAGAACTATTCATGAGCGTTTAAAAAATTTTCTCAAAAATGTTTCAATCAATTAAATTTTTAATCAATTTTAGTTCTTATTTAAGAACTTTGAAACATTTGAAAAGATTAGCCATTTTGAAGCTTTCAATTTCATTTAGATACATTGGCTGCGATAGTTTACTAAAAACTTTTGCGGTGAAAGAAGTAGATTGCTTTAGTCAACTGTTCTGACCATGAGATACTCTTCAATGTGTTAGGGAAATTTAAAGTAAATATGCTTCACAGCAGCAGTTGTTGAAACCAGTGACGTAAGCTTTTATCCTACCCTATTGTGCCAGACCACGGTCCTAGCTTGTATAGCTATCGAAGAATCTTGATCAACAAAAAATATATTATAGTGTCACCGTCTTTCACCTTTTACTTATTTCACATAATTACAAAATAGATCACACACTACCATTATCAGAAATAAGTATGTAGGTGTACGAGTAATATCTACATATAAAGTTATTAATAAAGATGTTTTAATCGAATGTTCAGTTCCAACAATTAAAAACCGTCCCAAGATTTCTCCTTAGAAGAACACCGTCTTTTAATCATTTTTAAAATGGAAAAAAACTTTCTCTTTTTTCAAAGGCATCCTTTGTTAAGAGTAAAGGTGAAGTTGTGTAAATATTAGTTTAGTCCGTCATACTTAAGAGCTTACAAAGTAAATCTCCAGAAATTCTTCGCTAGGAATCCTAAGTGGCCCAAGGGAAACCTGCACTTAATAATACCTAACAACATTTTAAAAATATATCGTTAACTAAACAATGTTCCTAAAAGGATTATAAAAATAGTTTTACATTCTCAGGCTTTGTTACAAAACAACTAAAAGTTTAGATGCATTTAGGATGCATTTAACATGGAATCTAGTTTTTACAGAAAATATTCTTGGGGCGTGACCGAACTGAGCGGTACTTTTAAGGATACCACTTGGGGCTTTTTCGGTGGGCGGTATATTGGCACAATGCAATGATGGCCACACTAAAAGCAGCCTGCAAACGTGTTGGACGCGAACAAACACGCACTCCGTTCCGAAAGCCTGACGATGTCTTACCATCCGGGCTGTTGTTGACACGGTAAACCGAGGCGAAAAAATCGATTGTGCTCGTGTGATTATTTTTGTTTTGGTTTGCGGCTCTCGCCCCCGTAATCCCCGCGCGGCCTCGGCCACATGACTCATGCTAGGCAGCAACAATGAAAAGCCACAATAAGTACGTCAAGTTGCCCCAAGACCTCGATCTGAGTTTCCACAGCGATTTGGACCTGCTGCCAGACACGGCGGCCGAAATCGACGTAGAACTAGACGCGGCTGCAGACACAAATGTGGCTGCGCTCAGTGTAAACGTGCCCGCGTCTCTGGGCCTGGACGAAGACTACGACGACGAGGTAATCATCGCCCCTGGCGGCGGAGGCCTTCGACTAGCCCCCACGGCGGCGGAGGCAGTGGCGGCCCGCAGACAGCAGCAGCAGCAACGCAGGCAGCGAAAGAATCAGCTGGAGCAACAGCAGAACCTGGCCAAGAGCAAGATCTGCGGCCTGGGCAGCGACAGTGTCATCGAGGTGAGTTCTAAATGTCTATGTAGGTATGAAATTACGATTTGGATTATTAGGATATTTTGGTAATGAAATTCATTAGGTAATTTTGCGTTGCATCAATTCTTTTCGGGGGGAACTGGGACAAGGTTTCTTCGGCGCCTGCAACTTGTGGCTGGTGGGGATTGCTAGGCCCAAACACATTCAGCGAGGCACGAAGCAAAACAAAGAGCTGAAAAATCGATAAGCGACAAAGAAATATTCTGTGTTTGTGGCAACCCCCAGAGCCGTTTGCACGGGTTTTCCCCGACAAATCGCTGTTGACTTTTAATCGTCGAGTGGGAAACTCACGTAAAAGGGTCCTCGCAGGTGGGGAAGCAGGAGCAAGGCGGATTTGTTCATCGGAAGTTGTATCTAATGCTAATGCGGTCCAAAATTAATGGAAGTTGTGTTGACACAGTCGAGGCCGCTTTTAGGAGATAAGCCGAAGTCGGCATTAATTCAATGTCATCAATTTTCCGCACTATAGATTACGCTTGGAGTAAGACGCCGTCCCAGAAAACTTCGGAAAGACTCAGGAAAATCAATCGAAAAATCAATAATTCCGCCTCCGCAACTAGTTAATAATTCATCTTGGTTCGGGCAGACTGCAGACCCCAACCCTCCTTTCAATCAATAATGCGTCAGACCCGTGTCAATCATAACCTCCCCCCTATTAACGATAAAAAAGCAATGCTAATGGTGTCACGATGTACTATGCCAGGTACATTTTCCGTAACAGCCGCTACAGTGTGTGAGCGACACAAAAAGTGTAATCCGCACATCGAAATCAAAATTAAAAAATTGATTTTTTAGTGATTTTAGGAATATCTATAAGGAGTAGCAAATTACAATAATTTAATATAATGAAATAGTGTATACCTAATACGTATGGATATACTTGTGGTTTTCGGCAGATCGCGGGTAATTTTTATAAACTTGCGCATTCTGTTCTCTAAACATATAAAGTCTAAAAATCATCGTTAGATATAAGGAATTCCTTTTTTCTTAGTTAATTTTGAGAAATATTTGTTAAAGAAATTTTCTGTCTGTTGTTTTCGGGTCTTACATGACACTGTGCTCATATTGTCCACGTCAAATTGTATCGATGTGTACTTCTTCACTGGGTGAAAAGCTTCGACAGGCTTGTCAATCCCATTGGGGCTTATGATGTGTGTTTGGACGGCTTACAATGGCGGTGAAAATATAATTTTGATTGGTCAGTGATGTTTGGACACTTTCCTTGTGAACCATTTTGCAGGCCGAAATGTTGGAACGTATCGCTTGGTTTTTACCTGAGGGTTATAACCACATCCGATTATATTATTTTTAAAAACCTATTTATTTTATCTCAAAATTTCTTTATACCCTTCTCTGGAAACATAAATAACTTTGTAGTCTCATTTCTGGGTCGCTTCATGCTCCATTCAGGTCTTGCAACCAATTAAAGCACATTCGTGCGCTTATGCTCCATGCACCTCATTAGGGTATGTTTGTAGAGGCTCAGGTCACTGCAATCTAACCTAGATTTATTCAGTTACTTCCCTTACAACACGTTTACGACTCGATTTGCCTGAGCTCAGTTCCACTTTTGGGGTCAAGTCCTAATCCTCGTATTACTTTTTGTTGTAGTTGAGTTCAGCGAATAAGAGGTTTTGCTTGAGAACTTTGAAAGGAAATCGAGTACTACATAAAGATATTCCGATTATCAGGATTGCAACCACCCAACTTTTATATGACTATAGTGGAATCCCAGGATATAAAACGATAGTAACTCTGTTTCCCTTATTCAAAAATCAAGGCTTGCTCTTTGGAGTAAAGGGTGAGAATAGGCTAGAAATATATATTTTTAGGTATACCCCATCACCTACTTGTCCATCGCCAAAAGAAGTATTTTGCTTGTGGCTCGGCGTATTATAATTGCTCGTAAGGTAATTTACATTTTAGAGTGGCCTTTCAGTGGACCCTTGAAGTACAGCGTTGGAGTTACCCTAGACCTGGCTGAAGCATAGAAGCATCATTCTGTTGCACGTCTTCTTTTGTGGAGCTGACTCGCTTTAGGACTGCTTTTGTGACATGCAAATTTATGCATAAAGTGCTGTAGAACAAATGAATTTATAGCACGGCCAAGAATATTTATCATCCTGTATCCAACACAATTCCGCTTTCCCATTTCCCCAACTTCCTGAACAAATGGAAGCTAGCAAAATGACGGGCAGCATTTAAGAGCATTTATTATAATCATAATACACAAACTGCATTATTATGCATTGTCGTTCCTCCGGGCGTGCCACGTTGCAAGGGTATGGAAAGGGCGGGCCAGCCCTTTAGTCTTCACCAGAATAATTTTGTGCATTTACATGGGATGACAATGTGCAAAGTTCCGAGCCCCAACTCAACTGTCGAAGGGTTGAAGGATCAGGGCATCCTTTGGAGTTCCATTTTGTCTATATTACTTATTCAGTTTTACTCTACACACACCAAGATGCGATTATTAATATAAAACAATTTACTGAAACATATCTTTAATTGGATTCTTGACTATTGACTGTGTGACATAAAATTAATACCAATTGATATTTATCTATGTTTTATCATTAAGTTTGAAAAATATTTATTTATATTTTTACAAGTTTTTAGACATTAAATTATATTTGCAATTTTTAATAGCGGAATATTTCGTGATAGCTGGACGCCATAGAGTCTACGTGCCTTTTCTCGTTTCTCTATAGGTACGGGTTCAAAGTAAAAACTTGTTTTAAGCTGCATTCCGGATTTGCCTGAGAATATATAATTTGCACTTTTAATTGCCACACAGAGAGGGTGAATGGGGAAAACTCATTCGCATCCTGCGGGCGGCGATTCAAAGTTTCCCTTAAAACATATAGCTCCGCCTTTAGAGCTATCCGTGCAATGCAATTGTGTAGTGAAAATGCTGACGCTAAATTGCGAATTTTATTCGTGGCTTATAATGCAGTTTCTGCCCAACGAACGTCCCGAACAGGTGACGCACATAGCTGAAAGCGAAATGCTTTTGGGGGCTTTTCTCTTTTGGTTTGCTATCATACCCCAACTTTGAGAGTACTCGTATTTATTATGACCTGCGTCCCAGGCAGAGCAATCGAAGAGCTTATCAGTGTGCAAATACACTTTAACTGTCGTTTGATAATTGCTTTCGCAGTCCCTGCACCTTCATTACCTTCCAATTGAAGTGCTTTGCGAAAGATGGACTTCTCGTTCCCCATTTGAGCAGCCGCAACCCGAAACATTCAGAGCTTTTTTATTTATCCACAAAAATGTTTTGCGGCCCGTAAAGTTTACAAATTGAATTAATTGCTTGCAAAATTCCAAAATGGGTAAGGAGCATAAAGCCACTAACTGTTGGTTGGCTTCCTCTCCCGACTGCTTCCATCCTTCCCCACTTTTCGGTTTTCGGCTGTCGTCGATCCTTTGAAAACCCGTAGAAAAACAGCTAAGAGGGTCCTTGGTTGATACCGGCATCCGGCTAAAAGGCGTTTTCAGGAAAATTATATTGAATCAAGGCTGGCAAGCGGAGCCTTGAGATGAAAGGATAAAAAAACAGCCGCCAGAAGCGTTGACTTCGATGGGGGAACATTAGCATGACAACAGGAGCTGAAACGATTCCATAACTGAACGGAGACCGAAGTCGGATTTTGGATTATTTCATATCCACCTACTTATATAACCATTTTCGAATTTTCCCTAAATACAAGAGAGGATTATGCCCCCATCCCGAAAGACAATCTACTGAAACTTAGTTTAGGAGCTCCTCCCGAGTATGAGCTATTGCAAAGAGCGTGTCTTTCGCCAAAAAAAGAAGCGTGTAATAGGCGAATCCGCTGCTGCTTTTCGGGTCGTGGCACTCTGTCTCTGCCTTTAGCCTGTAAGCATGCGAAAAAAGCCAAATTAAAGAGCAGAGGGTGGACCAGCTTTTGAAATCCAGAAGTCAAAACGAGGTGATGAAGATAGCCGAAGAAAAACCCGCAAAGAAGCAATTCTTGGACCCAGCAGGAATAGACAGCACACCATCTTGTACCGCTTGGTAAGCTCACTGACAGGGTGCCGTGAAACAACATTTCCAGAATAAACACAAGAGGAAACGCTATTGTCAAGTGCGCGACTATAAGATACCCGTTACTATTGTCGGATATTGTTAAGTACCTGATAGTGACGTTACTGCTCATGTGAGGCCTTATTGACAAAAATATGTTATGGCCGGAGAAAAACTAGGGACAAGTTGCACTGGCATCTCTTAAATACGCACTCTTAAAAATTCGCATTGGGGGCATCATAAAAACCTACATGCTTAATCAGAACTTTCTATCACTTATAGTTACCGAGATATCGGCTTTTCTAGAAAATGCAAAAACCGTATTTCGAGCTTGGTGGGCGTAAGAGTGGGCGTGGCCGGATAATGGTACGACTATAAGATACGCTTACATCTATACATATTATACATACTAAATTTCGCGGTTATTGGGCGTTAGAGTGGGCATATCAAGATGCTGAAATAAGCTTGCGCTTTCTATGGATCTCAAAAATATTCATGCTCAATCTAAATTATGTATCTCTTATAGTTCCTGAGATCTCAGCGTTCATACGGACAGACGGACATCGCTCAATCGACTACACTGTTGATCCTGAACAAGAATATATATATTTTATAGGGTCGGAAACGCTTCCTTCTACCTGTTACATACTTTTCAACGAATCTAGTATACCCTTTTACTCTACAAGTAACGGGTATAAAAATAAGTTTTACAAATCACTATATACTTTCATCTGAAAAGATCTGTTGCGTACTTTAAAAATTCACGAAACACTTATGGTAACAGCAAAAACCGAAAATAAATATACATCGTCACTTTATTAATCACTTAATGGATATTTCGATTTCGTTAAATAATCGTAAGCGTAATTTATTTTATGCATGCAACATGTTAATCTGTATTACGTTTCCTTTGGCT